ACAGTATGCCTGTAAACTGGTCTTTCTCCCTGGAGATAAGCAGGTTATTAAAAAGCAGGAGACAAGGTGAGTGCTTCTGAAGGCCCCACTATATGAAGATGTAAAACACAATGGCTCTTCAAGGATGAGCCCAATGTGGGATGAGCAGGACACTAGGAAAATGCGAATATGGAGGTGAAGCTTATAAAACAATCTAAGGCACACTTGTGTACAAAAATATTAAATCATTTATTCAGTAAAAAACAAATCGGTGCAGGTGAGTGGAAAGAATCAGTGAGAAGTCTATTTTTTCCAGACACCGCAGTGGTTCGGTGTGGTTTTCAGGTTATTAGACGTGAATAATCTCGTGAACCCAAGTGAAACTGCATTGCTTTGTTGTAACAGGAACTCTGCAAGTAACTCACTGTAAGTACATACTCCACCACACTTGAAGTCGATGTAAATCCAGCGTTATACACAAGAGTGCTTGGGATTTCCTTTTTCATCAACATTTGCACAATTTCCACGTGTTCAGGTAGACAGCTCTGCTCCACAAGCACGTTATTATTTGCAATATACAATAGTAAGACAAAATGAATTGAAAAAATAAAAATTGTTATGTTTAAGGCCGTACACGCACAGCCAAAGCAATAACGTCTTCATACAGACAAGCAAGTGGTGGACCCCTCACTGCAAAAAAAAAAAAAAAAAAATCATCATAATCTGAGTAAATTTCACTTTGATTTGATGATGGTCATGATTTCAGTAAATTGCACAAGTAAAATGATCTTCCAGTGGAATTGAACTTTTTGTACTTGAAATATGAAACAATATTTAATGTTGCTTGAATCAAGAAATACACTTATTCTACTGGTAGATAATTTTAATTGTCAGGTTGAATCTACTCAAATAAAGTAAAATGTTCGTAATTTAAGTCATTTTAACTTACCTAGATATTGTTTTTTTACAAGTGCAGAAAAGAGGTAAAGTACTAGCCAGGCTGGCGCCACCTAGTGCCTCGCTCAATTTCATTTCTCTCCAGCAACTATGTCAGGAATCAGAATACACTAGACGGTTCACAAGAACCCCGGAAACGCGAGTCCGGACGCCAGCCAATCAGTGAAGAGCCATACATTCTGTTTTGGCAACGATTCCCGAGATCAAGGATTTAAAGCCGGAACAAAGAGAATGTTTTTGGTGAATTTTATCAAGGGGAAAGATGTAATTGCCCTTCTTCCTACAGGATTTGGGAAAAGCTTAATATACCAGTTACCCCTGTTACTGGTGCATTACATACGTCACGACCAAATAGCAGCGATTGATTAAATTACCATTGAGCGAACGAATCCTAATGCTACAAGGTCAAATTTTCAAATTTTCACAAAGTGTAACCGGCTGATGAATCAGGCTAGTAAAGTGCACCTTTAAGCAGAAACTCCATTATGTGAAGTACAAAATCATTCGCTCTATTTTCTCTTTTTCTTTTTTGGGAATTTAGCAATTTGTGAAGAAATCTTAACTAAAAAGAATACCTTCACTTCACATAAAAGCCAAAATGTCAAAATGATGTTGATGTGAGGTTTTGATGCACAGAAAAACAGGGACAGAATGGATAATGCTTTGTGGTGCTTTCAAAAACAAATGTGCAGAGCTTTGAACAGGACTGAAGCCGGCTTTCGGTCTACAGACAGTACATAGCACATGACACACATGAGGAGGCGTCGCCCAGGGAACAGCGGACGCTAAACCAAGCACTCTTTTGTATAATGGACTACATGTAAGGAGGAACAAAGTAGGCCTGTAGGATTATTATTATTTCTCTTTTGTTTCACTTTGATAGTTATGTAAAAAATTGATTCAGTTCGTGTTAACTACATTTCATTTTCAAAGTAAGAAAAATATCCATGTTAGACAAAACTTCAAATTAAAGGCACTGTATGTAGTGTGTGCTTTTAGAGTTTTAAAACAAGATACTACAGTCACAGCTGAATCTTTCCCCATCACAGACATACCTGGAGTTGTGTTTTGTTTCATTCACTCATATTTACCTCACAAATCCTGCATATTTAGGCCGAGTTCTTCTCTTAGACTGAAGTCACTCTGTTCCACCTTGTGATGTCATGTGGTAATACAAAAAGTGCTCCACTGTGCTTTTAAACTCTATACACCTTCACTAGAATCATTGGGTGATTTCAGCCCTGGAATTGCCAATCACTTCTGAACTAAAGGTAAAAGGAGCTGTTAACTTAAAGAGAGAATTTTGATCTTTGGCGATGTAAACAGATTAATAAACCAGGCATGTGAATGAAAAACAAAACAAAATAAAACACAATTCAAGGTATGCTTATGGTGCGGTAACAGCGTTATAACATGACTTAAAGCTCACAAGAGTCAATATTGAGTAATACAGGACCTTAAATGATTGGCTGGAGGTGCTGGGTTTAGGTTGTGAGGATTCAGATCAAATTCTTTTTGGTTTAAACCAGCCGTATTTCAACATTAAAACTGGCAAACCTCAAGACTGATTGGATAATTGTCTTGCAAACCAAAACAGCAAATTATAACAAACATTTTAGCCATCATGTCCGATGTTTTTGTAATTAAAAATAAATCAGCATTTCAAGATGTTGACAGCTATCTTTGAGTCTGTCTACTTTGTATCCAGAGTCACACAAAGTCATGTGTATGGAATTTAAAATCTAAATCTTTTACTTCACAGATCCACAACACATTTTTGAGTCATTGTTCTGCCTGTATGTTTGAGCAAACAACATGTGAAGATATTTAGTCATTTATTTATACATTTATATTCTGCTATTTTCTGATCGATGTTAGAATGTTGTTTCTTCATCAAAAACATACAAGGAGCTGTGTTTTGTTTCACACCATTAACAGAAACCTCCACAGTGTTTTTAATCTCTACATGCTCACTAAAACAGTATCAGCCCTGGAATTATTCATCTGAACAAAAAAATAAATAAAAAAAATGTTCACTTGAAAACTGCCACTTCATGACATCATAAGGTGGAACAGATTATGAGCTTTAAAAATGTGGACAGACTAGTAATGCAATGCAGTAATACTTCTTCAGTGGACGGTCCAATCAAACAAAGATCATTCCCAAGTTTCAGAAAATATAGTAATAGACTTAATATAACAATTTAAGTTTGCACTGACTTCAAAATAATATATTCAAACTATGATCTGTGATAAAAGTGCCTCTTGCCCATTTGCAGCAACAGTCTGTATTCCTGTTTGATTCAGGTTGTGGCTGGACATAGGTTTGTTTGGTGAGTGTAGTACAAAAGATCAGGCCTCCAGCGTAAATTTACTTCAGTGGAGCAAAGTTAAAACTGTATTTGACCTCCAGGAATCATGAACCAGTCCAATACTACAGTACAAAACAACATTCAAAAGAAAAATTGAATGAATATATTGTTTTATTTTGTATTATTTTAGTTTGACCCCATAGACAGTATAAAGAAGTGGACTAAGGGAGTGTGTTGTCATCCAGAGAGTTCAGCTCCAGTCATATAGAGCTCACGAGGCTAGCAGTTATAAGAGGAAATTTGGAGTCAAGTTCTATAGGAATAGATTTTATTTACAGACAAAATAAACTTAATCCATCCATCATAAATCTCTATAACACAGTTCAAACAAGCTGATCCAGAGAAACTCCCTATAAGCTGTACTTTGCCGGGGCCGACATTTCCAAGTGGACGCTTTGATACAGGATGTGTGAGGAGCAGTATGACCACGTCCTCTTTGACCTCTTTGTGATTTGCTATTTTTCAGATTTGGTTTTGGCTCAGAACTTAATCAAAGTCTTAGATTTCTCTTCAAAGCTGCTTTTAACTGTAAAATAAAACCATGAATCTCACTAAAACTTTATAGCCACGCTTATTGTTTAATTCTCTAAATGTAATTTTGTTGTTACTTGTGACAATGATAATAAATCCTTGAATCTTTGAAAGACATTTATGGAGTCGTGTAAATGTTTGGCTAACATATCAAATGGTTTAATAGGACCTTTAATTTCAGATTCCATGGCAAGAGTGGTTGATCTGTTTTTGTGGCTACCTGGCTCACACACTGAGCAATTTTTGAAACGTCTTTTGTTTTTGAGCTCAGTTTTTATCATCATGACATGGGATTTTAACCAACTAAAAAGTGCAGCATGTGCAGCTCAGTGGACACAAGCAAGGGACTGTTGGATTTTATGAAATGAGCTGTTTGTGTTTCCCTGTATCAACAGAAACTGGCCCTATGATTAAGAATCCCTGCTCTTGCACACCCAGGCAAACATCGTAAGTAAAAGTAAAAAATGAAACCCACCTCACACTACATCAGGGTCTCCAACCTTTTTCCTCTGCTGAGCTACCATTACAAAACAAAAAAGCCAGAGAGCTACTCATTTCAGCAGTCACGAGAAATTGAGAAAGTTTAAGAGCCACAGCGAGCCTTGGATGGGGTACAGTTAGAAGCTTATAAAACATATACCATTATCAATTCATTAGTGCAGAAGTTAGGCATCAAAATTATACATTTATAATAGTAAATAATTAGACTTTAGTTATTAAGCACAATATATATAATTCAGCTACTTGGAAGAGGGTGGAGAGCTACTTGTAGTGCCCGAGCTACAGGTTGGAGATGCCTGCACTACATCTTCTGTTTTTCTTATGACCATCCCTGCTCCCATGTTCTATACTGGCGCCTTAATTCACTTTTAGGTGCTAGGGTCGCCAGTTCTGAGCAAGAAATATTTCATACAAATCCATATAAACATGTATCTGCGTTGCATTTGTATGTCAACCTTGGCATTAAATCAATAAAAGGCTCAGACCTCCACATTCAGGCCTGCGCGATGAATATTACTCGTTTATTTAGAGAACAGTTATACAACGATGAAATCAAAGTCCATGCAGGGAACCGTCAACCACTCAATTACCTGTGAAAAGTCTATTTGCGCTCAGTAATCGCAGGAGAAGAGTCTATTTGAGTGAGAGACAAAGCAGAGATCTGTATTAAAGATATTTATTTTGTATGGAATCTCAGCTCATGCAAGAATACAGCTCTTGTAAACAAAAATCACATGAAAATATGTTATAAATGTGCTCCGATTTCTTCTCCTCTTGTGGAATGTAGTCAGTGGAAGAATATGTGGTTTTATTGGTCCGATTTACGAGAGACATTTTAAGACATTTGTGAGTTTTAAAAGGAATGTCTGATTTTACAGCATCTGAAACACAGAGCAGGTCAGCTCCATCTCCTTTTGCTGCTGCCAATAAAACTGCCTTTAATAATAACATCTCTAGATTATATATTATTAAACACTATCTCCCAACTTTATACAGTACTGGTATGTGGTCATTGTGAAAGCCCATTTGTGAAGTTGAAAAAAAAAAAAGAATTGAAGCAAAAGACGCACTGACTTTTTGCATTTGCCTCCTGCTTGTCTCCATGGAGATGTTATTGCTTTGCCTGGAATATTCCGCATTAAACGTATCCATTTTGCATTTGCTCAATTACAGGTGTTTTTATTACTCCAAGACTCTTTGAAAAACAAACTTTTTTTCTCAAATGGCTCTCCTCTCCACAATTCTGACCTGTAACTTGGTATTTTAGTGCCACCTCCTTGTCTCCATGGAGCTAGATAAGTTTAATGCCATATTGAGGAACATTCCAGATCTCCACAAAGACAGGCAGGTAGAAAAGTTACACAGTGCACCATGAAAGTGAAGTTAGATAGAGAGTCTTTAGTCAAAGCATCCAGACTTTTTAAATCAAATTAAGTGAAAGTTATGCAGTGTTGACATTGACTGTGATTGATGTCGACAGAAGATGTAAAATAAAAATAACTCTTTATTTAAGATGTCAGTTTTTCAGATTTACAGCAGAGTGGAAAATCTCCTCCTGGAATTTAACCCAAGGACTTAACCCAATAAAATGTGCCTAAATCGGGGTTAAGTCTTCTTTTTACCCTGGTTAAAATGTTTACAGTTTCTTTGTTTTTGTTTTATCCAGATTTTGTCCAGAATTGGTACACCTATTTTTTTAAGTCCTGATTTCTCTGACTGAAATGAAACAAAACATGGGTTTGACTTGAGGTGCTCCATCTCATTCCACTAGTTTTTACTTCCATGGAAAAGCAAAACAAATGCAGTATGAGACTAACAGAAATACTCCAATAACTATTAAAAAGCAGCAGAAAAAGGGGAATTTAACCGTTTTTGGTAACTGAATTGTGTTAAAGCTACCATCTGTAATTAGACTGGCCCACCCAGTCACGTTGTACTCTCACACATCACCACTAGATACGGTCTACGTTAGTGCTGGCTGATATCGTGCCAGTTTTGGTCTAAAAGAAGAAGACCAGAGAGCACAGGTGAGTCTGAACAAAGGTTATTAGATGTGAGGGGAAAACATCTAATAAACTTACAGATGGTAGCTTTAAACCCAATAAAACCCATTCAATATTTGCATATAACTGCAGTGTACAGCTTTTTCCATAAGAGCTCTTTAAAACACCACACATACTTTAATGGCAACGTAATATTTCATGTCTATATTTCATGACACTGCATCAGATATTAAAGATTGTTATTACTAAAATCTGTATGCAATCTGTGTGAGCTTGTTGCAAGGAATTTGAATAGAAAACAAATGTATTTATACCTGCGGACTGTAACAACCTGATATTTCAAGAAGACAATGTGAGCGATTTTGTAAGTTTCAGGAATAGGACCCCGAGTGGGCTTTGAGGTACAACTATTTTGGGTGAATCCAGTTGAGACAGATGTGGAATGTGACAGGACAGATAAAGATTTAACCAAAAATAAAAAATAAAAATCACTGAGCATCAAACATGGCAACTGTTGGTGAAAACAAAAACTTTTCAGATCAAACAAGGAATGAATAAAGAGTGGAGGCCAGGTAAGACCCAAAAGCAGGTAATTTGAAGTTTTCTCACGTTTTATATGTAGCATGGACTTTTTTTGCCTGGAGCCACTGTCATAAGAACTGACACCTCCAGGTTAAATGAAGAATAAAAATGAGTTAGACTGCTTACATCTGCTGCTCCAGTTCCATATATATACATATAATTTGATCACGCTATACTTACCCTGTAATAGTGCAAGTCAACATACTACAGATGTCAATGAATAATTTGGGAATAATTTTATATTTAATTAATTTTTTTATTTATCTTTTTCTTTTGGTCTGGTGTTTGGCTAAAATCCAATCTCTGTAAGTTCAGAAAATTCCAATTCTAGTATTATTTATAGTAGTAGAAACAGCTTCTGCTTGAGAATCTTTCTTTTCAAATATCTAGTTGTAGTCACGCAGTTTAGATGCTCAGTGAGACAATGGACTTGGATATAATGTGTATGTAATTTCCCAGTTTTAAAAAAGGTTGACAGAAACAGGAGAGAGTGAGAGAAGAGGCCCTCTACATGGACTATAGGCATGTGGTCAGTAGACTTCAAAAATAGACATTTACAATATCATGCTATAGACTCCAGACACCATTTCGGTAAAAAAGAAGCTCCCAATATAAACACTTAGAGATTTCAGAACAGGCACAGTAGTGTTACCCTGGATAAGAATGCAAGAAGACATATAAAAGACAAAGAAAAGATTGCTGACAGGTGAAGAAAAAGAAAAATTTATGTTAGCTTAAATCATATTTTTAAAATCAATTCCTGGATTATAAAAAAAATGAAAAGAGAAGTGGGAGAAGCAAGCGCCCCCTGCTGTCCAAAGTCAGTAGTAGTGAGAGCGAGCCTCGTCCGCAGAGGACAGGTTTCAGCAGTAGTCTGCATAAGGCCGCAGCTTGTGTTGGCAAAAGAAAAAGAAACGTCTGAACAAAATGATGTCAAGCTTGAAAAATGTGCAAAATGGAAATCTTACAAATACAGAGCGTCTATGTTTGTAAAAAGATTGTGCTGGAGTTGGTCCGCTTTGAGACTGGGTCCTTCTCAATAGAAGAGCTGTAAAGCCCGCCCTCCAGCGCTCTGATTGGTCCACACATTGGAAGCTGACCGCCAGGCTCGCGTGTGACTGGATCATGAGCTTCACGTCAGCTGGACAGTCCGCTTCAGTTTTTCTATCTCCATCTGTACAAACCACACAGTACAGAAAACATGTATTTGTTTGAGGTTAAAGATATCACACATTACTCCACGCCGCGTTAATATTACACACTGTATGTGGGTTTGAAAACTCTTCAGACACATTTGACTGGTGTGAACTCTGGACTGGTGCAAAAGAGTTCAAGTTCTTTTACGGAGCCAAAGAAACTGAATAATTTAATATTTTAAAGTTAAGAAGAGCGAGAGAACAGCGAGTTGTCTGTGTGATGGCAGGTTAAAACGCGTTCTTTGACTAAAAATTGTAAATGGAGTTGAAATGAGTTTCAGCAATAAAAGAGTTTGAAATGAAACACATTATTTCCATTAATCAAATAAGTATGAAGCCTATACCACAGTCTATATTATGTTTTTATAATTTAAATCTAGGAGGAATATAACTTAATATAACATTCTCCAATCCACAGCTAGATTAGGACTTCAAATATGTTCATATGGCTTTGATCTAAGTGCAAGTCATTATGGAAACACTGCTACTATTGCAAATAATTAAGCAGAAAACACTGAATACGCCAGTGATCAAAGGGAGAAATCTGTCCATTTGAACCATATTGTGGACTCACTTATTTCCATAAAAAGTGTCTGTGGTGTTATATTTGTACGAGCTAGCAAGAAGAGCGCACCACTGGAGTCATTACGGGAACAAAACGTGCTGCCTGATCTGCGTCACTCATTCCTCCAGCTCTCCTCTTCTTCACCTGGAAACGATCCTTCTTGGGGCTCTCTCTGCTGTAGTCATGATTCGGGGAAGGGATCAGTCAGTGTTTCCTCTGCAGTCGCCTGTGGGTGCTGGGGAGGTGGCTGGGCCTCCTCAAACCCCCTGGTGTGAGAGCGTGTGTGTATGGGGGCATTAGCGAACTCACAGCGGGCACTCTCCGTCTCTGCGTCCAGGACCACGCTGTGCAAAGGTGTTTCTGAGCTCAATCCAATACTGAATGACATTATGCCCGCTCCCGTCAAAGCCAGCGCGCTCACAGCTCACACGAGGCGAGGAGGGTGCTTCTGACTTTTTCAATGTGACTCACTTTTGGTACTGAAAGACTTCGTACACAGTTCCTGAGAGTTTTCATTCAGTAGTGATGCATTTGATGTCAATGCATTTTAATACTGTTTCTAATAATGGTACGCAACATATTGAAATGTAGATATATTGTAAATTTGGTGATGCAGAATCGATATTGTGGGTTGACCTATCACTATATCGCTAAGAGTATTTTTCAGTATCTTACCACTACAATTTTGTCGTTTATTTACATTTATGTAATACACTTGACATATGTACTATTTTGATGATTAAAATAAACCACTATTTGTACAAAGTTTGTCTAACAAAGACAATTTTGCTTCTAAAATGTATTTGGTTCTTAAAAATCAACAAGATACCATATTTTCTGGATTACTGAGCACATTTGAATATAAGCCGCAATAACAAAATTTTACCATAAATTTTAAAATTGTACATATATAGGCCGCATCTGAATATAAGCCACAGGTGTCCACATCTAAAAGAACGTTATCAAGTTCGGGCGTCTGTTTTATAACCTCTGAAAGCTTTTGTCATCTTTTTGCATTGAGTCAGTTCGTCACGCTGTCGTCGCTAATGTCTCACCATCAACTCATTGATGCCGAGCTCACGTGCAGCAGCTCTGTTTCCTTCTTCCACAGCCACATCAATCGCCGTTAACTTAAAAGCTGCATCATCTGCATTTGTGTGTGTATGAAGCGCAAAATAACTGTTCAAAACACAATCAAACGAGCTTCTTCCCCAACGCATCACCCCGTCTCTCCCCACGCTCTACCACGCATGACTCCTGCAGAAAGAGCCACTGTCCTGTCTGTATCATGTCAGTGTCTTGGAGGATTTCAGCAGATTTCAGACTTTCCCGGGGGCAGGGTTAGCTCTATCAGTCAGGTATGAGTGGATGTCTGGCTACTGAAGTTTGAGACATTTCTTCTCGTCATTTACACATACGGGTAAGACGTATCCCCCTCACTAATGTTAGTTTAGCAAAACAACTTAATTTATTACACGGCGATAAACTATTTGAGTGCGCTGACAATATCGCTAGCTAGTGTAGCAACTTCATGTTAACCCTAGATCCACGTGTTAAATTCACAGACAGTGGCATTTTTTGCACTCATGCTGTTCGTATCCGTTGTGTTGCCAAATCATTAAGCGTATATATGAATGGACAATGTGCCAAACAAAGAATCCATCCATACATTAGCCACATCGTTTTATTCGCCGCAGGGTTCAAAGTGTGGGAAAAAAGTAGCGGCTTATAGTCCGGAAATTACGGTAATATCATATCGTGAGCCATGTATCATGTATCGTATTGAATCGTGAGGGAACCTGTGATTCCCAGCTCTGGTTTCTAAAATTTCCTTTACACATTTTCTTTCAAAGTGCACTCGCCTGTCTGTAGTTACTCCAGAACTCAGCGGCACAACTTTTAATAGGAACCAAAAATGCAAGCATATCACAACAATTTTTGCGTCTTTGCACTGCCTTCCTGTTCATTTTAGAATTAATGTTAGATTTTATTGTTTGTTTTTAAACGCTTTGAATGGACTGGCCCCACAATACAACTCAAACCTCTTCCAAATTTACACCTCTGCACATGTTTGTCTAAAGAAATGCTTTTATTTTATGGCTTTTAAGACCATGTTAGTTGTGTGGTTAACATTTCATTTTGCTTTATGTATTTTAATGTTTTAATTGATGATTTACTCTCTTTTATTGTCTTTATTTGCCTGTGCACACTTGTCCTGTTTATAAAATGTGCTATATAAATAAAGTGGATTGGATTGGCCATTTTGCATTCATATTCTGAACAAAAGAACAACTACAGTGTTTCACCAAAGGACAGAGTCAAGACTAAGACTTCAATCTAATTAAGATTTTATGAGATGATTCAAACCTGAGTAATGCCAAAGATGCCTTAAGATATCCTACGAGAAGATGGGTCAAATTTCTCATTGAGAGTGAACACAAACACACAGCCTTTTATAAGACTTAGTATGTTTTTTTAGTTTTGTTTTAACTACTGACAAATCCAGTTATATTGTTATTGTGCTTTAGTTATTCTGTTGACTCACTTCCAGCCAGAGATGAATAATTAGTGTAGGACAAAAATAACTTATGAAAACAATCAATAGTTTGTATCTACTTATGTTCCTCAGTTAACTGTAATACCATTGCCTTGAAAATCTGACTTTATCTAAACAAGTGTCTGTGATATTGATGCTATTCCTCCTCATCATAAAAATGTTTGGCTTTGCTTCTATCAGTTATTTTTCACAGAAATCACAGAAAAAAAAAAAACCAACCAGGGCAAGCGTTTTAGTATGTAACAGACCTTTTCGCCTAGAGCCACTGTCAAAAGAACTAACACCTCGGGGTTAAATACATGATCAAAATGAGTTACATTGCTTGCATCTGCTGCCCAAGTAGAACACTCGGATCACACAAATTTCAGTAGGGATGGTCGAATATGGAGTTTCTGTGCCAATAAAACTCTTTCATTTACAATTTCTTGCTGCTGTGGCTGATAATATTAGTTTTAAAATGATTACTATTATTGATTAACATTTTTAAAACTAGAGCACAGCCCACAAATACCGCATTTTCCGGGCTATTAGACGTGCTCTTACGCCTCCAACCCCATCAAAAAACAACTGCGCCCCCCGCAATCCACAGCGCTCTATACACGAATCCACTCGGGTGTCCCATCATGACTTCAGTAAACTACAAAGCAGCACCACCCGCAGCGCACGCAAACACGCACGGAGCAGACAGCGACTGCAAACACCCGCAGACACACTCATCACTCCACGCGGACGAGGAACGGAACGGAGGAACGAACCGAAAAAACGAGTGCGATGTGCCACTTCTAGACACAACTGAACAACTGAGTCACTGCGAACACGCCGACAATCCAGCGGTCCCAGACAGCACCCTCCCTACACGCCACAACTAAACAAAGCCGAGAGACGCCGTGAACACGTCAAACAAAGTCCCACTGACCCATCCAACTGTTGTGTTTCGTTTAAAGTCCGGGGAGGTTTATTTGTGAGAAAAGTTCAAAGATAGACCATTCTATGACAGTGCGCCTTATAGCCCATAAAATATGATATATATGTTATAGCAAGTCCCGCAAATTAATCTTTCATGTTTTAAAATTAACAACAATGTATTTATTTGAGATGTAAGATAATTTGTTGCATGATTGTGTAAACATACAGCCTTACTTTTTGCTTATATGCTCTCCCATTTCCATTTTAAAGACCAACTGTGAATGATACATGGGCACACAGACTGTCAGCTTGGAAAAATATCCCTGCCAAATATTATGTAATATAATATGGAACCGATACAGATATCTGGAAAACCATCCAGTACCATAGACATCAGAACAAACAGAAATCGCCCACCCATAACTTCAGTTACCTTAGATGCCTCCCACTAAGAAATGTATATAGAGAAAAGACAAATGACATCTGTGACGCTGTGTCCCAATGCAATAAAACAGACAGTGATTTTAAACCAAATTCGAATAAACTAAAGCTTCGAAACACAAAAACCTGAATAGTATATAAATCTGTAAATAAAACCTGTAATCAGGAGTGCATGGAAAGTCAGAATCAAGCTGAGTATTAACTCAAATCCAATCAATCTTTCAATTCCTAGAAATAATACTCATTGATCCCATGAACTTTGAAGCAGGATTTAAACATTTCTTAGTGGTCGATTCCTGAAAGTGTGCGTGCTCTGGGTGTGTGTGTGCTAAGTGGTTGTGATGCGTGCGGACAGGTCAGAGTGCGTCTCCATGGAGATCGATGGTACCTGCAGGGCTAGGCGCTTGTGCCGCTCCTCTTCCAGCTCACCGCGCAGCTCCAAGATCTCTTTCCTGAAAAAACGAACGCAGATTAAATCAAGACACATGTGGTGGACTCGCCGTACCATACTTCAAAAACCACGGGCAATGTAAAGAAGGAGGGCTGTGCAATCAATCCAATTTCATCAAGATTCAGTCATTTCTAATCATCAATGATCAGCTTGGGTCCCTATATTCAAAAGGGTCAACAGCCAGTCCTCTGTAAAAGTATATGGTTTGGAGCAGAGTTCAGACTTTGGAAGAACATATTTGACCATTTTAAATGTTTTTTGTGCTAATTTAGGTTGAGGAATATATTGATACTGAATGGAATTTTTATTTGCTTTTATAAAGACAAAAAACCCATCAAGATGGATCAACATGAGGGGAAAAAAATCAAAATATATTTAGGCCTTATTATGAAGACTATATGGTTAAAAAGCACAAGTTGCATAATTGAGTTACTTAAAAAAGTGCACTATGTAACCTTTTTTGATGAAGAGTCCACCTCATTGTCTCAATGGAGATATTATTAGTTTGCTTAGAATGCTCCACTATATGTATCTGTATCAAGCTTATTTAATTCCACGGAGACAACTTCTCAGTGTTAAACTTGAGATAGGACATACAACATTTACAAAAGTTGTAAAAGAAAAATGTATTTTTAAAGTTTATGAATAAGAAAATGTGTCTAAAACGAAAAACTGAACAGAAACTTGCTAGAAAGATCACTCAATTCAAATACACTAACCAAGATATTATCTGGAAATTTTTTACACATTTTTCATGAAATGCAAAACACATTACCTATTGTAATTGAGAGAATGTTCCATAAAAAATGAGGATATCTGCTGACATTTTCACCAGTCAATTTCACCCAGTCCTACTTATTCATCACTGACACTGGATGCAGGATTAGCCTTTGTGCATAGATTAGGTTGATGGAGGACTCAGACACACACAGAGGAAACAAAAATCTATTTTATAATCCCAGGATATTCTTCTCACACTGATAGAAAACTCAAGTCACGTTTCACTGGATCCATTTCTCCATAGATCTTATTCATCATTGGAGGTGGAATCAGGGTTCAGCTCAAATGTTAGCCTCATAGTATTAAAAGGCCCACTGATCATCAGAAACAGAACAGGAGTTGAGTTTTGTCTCTTTCACAAATGTTTAACACACAAATCCTGCAGAATCCTGAAAACACTCTGTTCCACTTTGTGACACCATGTGGTAATACAGGAAGTGCTCCACTCGGTTTTTAAACACCTTCACTAGAATCATTTGGATAATTAATCATTTCAGACCTGGAATTGTCAATCTCTTCTGAACTAAAAGGTAAAAGGAGCTGTTAACTTGAACTACTACAAACAAAGTGGAACCGAGCATTTTGAACTTTAGAGATGTACAGGCTAATAATAAAGGGTTACTCAAACATCTCCTAATATATTTTAGATGAGGTAACAACATATTAACATGCCTTAAAGCTTACAAGAGTCAATTTTCGCCAAGTATCGAACCTTTAAGAAATTTAAATCTACAAGCTCGCCTAGAACTCCACCTACAAAGTATTGAATTCATATACTGATTCCTTGCAGCTCCTGACATTAACGTTGCCTGTGGGGGTGAAGAAAACTAGCCGTAACTCAATTTAGCTGACCTTTTCTGACCAAAAATAACCGATTTAGCTAAACTACTGTTACGGCCTCAGGAAATGCCTCATATTTCCCGTGTTTGAATTTCCTTACGTCTGTTGAGTCTTGAGCAGCTCCACAGTCAGCAGCAGCTCTCTCATCTGACTCCTGAGCTCCTCGTAGCCCGCACTCTGGTCCTCCGGCTCCAGGCGACCTTTCACTCCGGCGCTGGTGCTGTCCACGCCGCCGCCACTAGGGGCAGGGGCAGTGGACTTGGCCTCGGTGCTTAAACTGGTCCTCAGATGAGAAGAAGACTGGGACACGGTGCTGATGGAAGGCTGGAGACAGATGGGGAAGTTTACAAAGTTTAGAATGTTGAATGATAAAACAATAGATGAGATCATTTATTATCATTGTTGTTTAGGACTCTGAAAACAGACAATTATTGATCATATTTTAAGAAACTAAAGAGGTAGAGCTTTAAAAAGGTACATTGTGTAACTTTTCTGGTGGAGAGTCTGTTAAATACTTCGAGATGTCATTGCTTTGACTGGAATATTTCACAGTATGGCTTTAAACCTTTCTATCATCATGGAGACCAAACTAGACCAAGTTACCGGTCAGATCTGTGGAGAGGCAACCCCGCCTACAGTCAGAATGTCTGTTCTTTATAAATTTTTGAGCAGTAAAAATGTGATACTGTGGAACATTTCAGGCAGAGCAGTGGCATATCTAAAGAAACAAGACATAGTGCACCTTTAAGGTTTTTCTGAAAATTCAAAAGTAAAGTTTTTTTAGTTCCATTTTTTTTCTTAGTGCCAACTCAGGTCTGTTTTGGTCCTTGTTTATCATTTTATTTACATAGTTTGACCAATTGAATTATGCCAGCTACCTTTTCATTTTAATTCAGTATAAATTACTATGCCAAAAAGTATATTACAAAATAAATTTGATCGCAATACTAAACTCAATAGTGCATGTTTTCTAGCCCTGTGTTGACCTCCTGCGGAAACTAATATAATAAGATCTGTTGGGACGTGTCCTCAAACGCACTTGTCACAAATGCAGATCAACAGGATGACTCACTCACAGCCATGTCATTTGCCATTAGCACTCCACTGAGAGGTCAAATTGAAATAAATTGAATTGTAAAATATATAATAATGTGTGTAATGTATGCGCAAAACAACTAATCAGCTTTCACATCAATTGCTGAATATTACTTTTCAATAGAGGCATTCCTAAACAATGTGATTTTTAAATTGTATTACTTTTATTTTTATTTTTCATTAGACAGTTCAGTTGTTAGGCTGAATCCCACTCCCACACAATGCTGTTGTTGTGTCCTTGGGCAAGACACTTAACCTACCTCACCCCTCCTGTGAGTACACTGGTGTATTAATGTGTGTGTGTGAATAGGTGATTGGTTCTTTGATCTAAACTTTTTGATCTAAAGGTGGAAAAGCGCTATCTTTTTTCTAGTTTGCCATTGAAATAGATTACATAATATGCATATTATAAACTGGAAGATTGTTGTAGAATCCTCACATGAACCATCCTTTGGGGAAGTTAACTGGCCTGTACCCAATTTTCTTCCGCATATTTGAGCAAAATGTGTCTAGCCCCAATACAGATACTGTAAGCAGCTCTTGAGGTCAAAATAAGTCTGTCTGCATCCAATTAGAAACCGCTTTATCTGTCTGATCATCTGACAATGAGCAAGCGAGTGTTTAGTGTGCTAGTTGTTGTTGTTAGCTTTACAATGGCGGCAAGACCTCACTTGGGTCTATGAAAGCTGAGAAAAGCACTAAACTCATCGCATTTAATGTATATGTTCTGTAACTTACAAAAGCCTATTTATAACCGATTACTGCTTGCATTTCTGCACCTTTTTGGTTTCTGTTAGCTTTGGTTTGGCTGAGTCCTCTTCATCCGTCTTAGTGAACTTCTCTGCATTCACTTCCTTGTGAGGCTGGAAAACATATAAAAGCCAAAGTTATTTCAAACTTGGGACAGTTGAAAAAAATATACAGAAAAAATAATTTCATGGTGCTGGGTCAATTGGTTGAATTTTTTTTCTGTTGTTTTTGATTTGTTTCTTGATGGCTCCCTACATATTGTGGTGTCCTTTATTTTTCTTTGGGACCATAAATGAAATCTAGCAATAGCAACAAATAGGTATTAAGACTAACATAAACACATGTTGGACTTTATAGTGACAGAAAATCCTGATTGTAATGTCCGTTAGATGGGCTTTGTGCAGAGTACAGCAGCTTCAATAGAGCCATGAAAAAGCAGTGCGGTGAGTGACATTTAATCAAACGTGGACTTTGTGTTCACTTGAAGCACGTGTCTCCTCTGAAGGACGAGAGAATAAGAGACATTGGTTGTGTTGTGTGGAGGCTCTGTCCAGCGCTGATTCTTAGCACAACTATATTGCTGATTTTCAGAAGTAAACAGTAAGAGAAGTGAATGCATTATCCCCATGCTGATATTCAGTCTTGTAAATGCGTTGGTTAAAGGTGCATTGTGTAACTTTCTAGTTTTGTGTCCATCACTTGTTTCTATAGATTTGTCACTGCTCTGCCTGGAATGTTCCACAGTATGGCATTAAACATTTGACTTTATATTTATTCAATTACAGGTGGAGTTATAGCTCAAAAATACCTAGAAAAACAGATATCACCTCTCCATAGATCTGAGCTGTAACTTGATCTGGTTTGGTCTCCATGAAAGGTTTAATACCATAGACCATCCAGACACAGTAATAACATGAAGAAAAGCATATTCCTCCACCACAAAAGTTACACGATGCACCTTTAAAGCTCAAATTGTGAAAAATTTAGTTAGAAAATTTAACCAGAGAGACATTATTTGATGCCTTGGTGTGTAAAACTGCAACTCTTTTTGAAGTATTTTAGTTGCCTACATATTATGCATTAACTTCTTGGGGTATCAAAGACACTATAGTAAGAGATGTGTTTTGTGGCATGTTTGTTTTTAAAGCAGCCAAAATATGTCAACAAGGTAAAAATATCTCCTTCTGTGTTGTCTTTAAAAAGAACCTAAGAAATTAATTATGATTAGGGTTGGGATACACTGATAATATACCCAAAACCTACTGCATACTTAAACAGTTCATTTCCTCATATAAATCATTCATTTCATTTAAAGTACAACTACTGCATAAATAACCACTGTCTCACCGAGGGGCTTCCAAACTGTGTGGGCGGTCTCTTCCCAGGCATCTTTGGTCTGTCTGCAGTCGGGTGGGAGAGCTTGTGTGAGGTAGACGTCAAATCGTCAAAACTCATCAGGTCTGAAATTTAACAGGAGAAACATTCACTGTCTACTGCAAAGAATATATTTTCCCCCTGACAAAAGCAAAACACAATGTTTGAGTTAAATTTCCCAAAAGAATATCTGCAAATGTCCCCAATCATTTTTGTGAACTCGATCCCCTTAATCTGTGCTGACAAATAAAGACTTTTCACTGCCCTCTATTTAAACTTGTAAGATGATACGCCAGGCTTTGTTTCTAGTATTTAGCAATAAATGATCACATAGTTTATGGCTATTTTATTTGCTACAAGTTAATAACATGGTGCATTGCACATTGGTCAAAAAAATATTCTCTGATGCTGACTGATGTAATTTTTCCATTTGCTGTGTTTTTTGTCTTGTGTATTTTAACCATCTAGTATGAGTAGTAGTTTTGTTTTTGTTTTTTAAACCAAGCAAGTACAGAGGTGTGAGCAGGGCATATATGTGCAAACTCATGTGCTGAGCAATGCCAAGCTGCAGATTGCAGGATTGCTCATACTGTTTGATAAGGGCAAAACATTGTAATATATTCAAAAGCCTATTTTGAACAGTAGTGGAAGAAATACTCAAGTGTGTTACTTAAGTAAACGTAAAAAGATACTGAAGCAAAAAAAATCAATCAATCAATCAATTAAAAGTAAAGGTATCACATGAAAAAAATCAACCTAAGTAAAAACAAGTACCTTTTTAAAAAAAGTATTAGTACAGATACCTTCTCTCAGATGTAGTGAAGAAAAAGTATCCACTTTAAAATTGATTTAAGTATACATTTTAGGTATCTGTACTTTATTTACAGTACTTTACTACTTGTACTTATTTATGTTCCATCACTGATTTTGAATACACCATCTTGTATATAACCTATAGAAGTATTATGCAATATATATGTACAGCTCCATAGCACTAAATCAGTCAAACTATTTCCAAGAGACTGGAGCCGCATGACAGAAAATGCTTATGTGTGCACAGAGGCATACTGTAGTCTAGTCAGGCCCATAGGAAACTTAAGGGACTGTGGTGTAATAGCTCTTCGCACCTCTGCTTTGTACAGGGCAGGGTTTTCTCTGGTCTGTGGACTCAGTGTGTCAGACTCTCCATGGGATGACTTTTAGCAGCTTTTTTTTTTGCACCTTTTATCAAACAAGTCCCAAACCTCAACAGCGGAAACAATTTAAGATTGTAACTACAAAATCCTTTTCACGTCTTCCCCCTTTCATGTTCCCAAGAGCTCAAAATGCAACGCTTAGAACGACTCATTGTTGAGACATAAACTACTGCAACACACACACACAGTTTTTTTACTCTACATTTTTTAGCAAAGCATATAAAGAGTCCAAACTTTTTCTTAGGTTATATTTCATTTATACCACTTTTATAGACTATTTTACCCAACACTTGATACATTGTACAAATTAGTTGGGTACGGTGTAAGACATAACATGTGTCATAAGACATTAGACGTATTATTGCAGGTTGCTAAATAGAGCAGATTTTAATTTTAAAATGTTTTATTATAAAAGGTACCATACAAAGTGAGTGGGCTTGCCTCTCCATAGATCTGACCTGTAAATTGGTAGTGTCACCTGCTTGCCTCCATGAAGACGAATATGTTTAGAGCTACACTGGAAAATTTTAGGTAAAGCAAGCTCTATGGGAACAATCAGGTCAGGGACTCTCCACCGAAAAAAGCTACATAATCCACCTTTAAGCTTCTGCTAAAATATGAACATAAACTGCTGTGGTTGCCCTTCACTACCGAAGCCTGCAGTAAACATGTGAGCGGTGTGTGGCGAGTGGTGTGTACCGGGCTCCGCAGGCTTGTCTGTGACCTCTACAGATGGAGCCCTGGGTCTGGACACGGGTAATTGCGGTAACGGCTCCGGCTCTGGCTTTGACCGAGTAGAAGGCACCTCTCCATTGTGTCTGAAAAAAAAAGAGGACAAGAAACCATAAAATGTAACTAATAATTATTGGGAACAGATGGAAAACAAAACCACATTAAATATTGCAGTAGTGGGAAGAAATATAAGGTTTTGTACTTAGAATTGTGAGTTTATCGACTCATTTCAAAACATCAATGATAAACTTGTTTTTTTTAATGCCGAGGTCTACTGCCAGTCCTCTGTCAGTAAAAGCATGTGGTTTGGATTGTTCTATCTTTTATTTATTATTATTATTTTTTGTTAAATGCCGCTGATTAAAAGCTGGCTTTGTCTACGTTCATGAAATCATTAGAGAAGGTCATTTTTTATTTTGCTTTTGAAATCTGACAAACTCCTCAAGCGCTGACTTTTTAAAGGATTGATACAAAATATAATGGATTAGTTATATCTGAGAAACAAACCAAACATTCTGACACTAGATTTTTAAATTTTGGTTCAAATTGCATTATAACACATACTGTACTTCTATACAAATGGAAAGACACAAACTTAAAAGTGCATTGTGTAACGTTTATGGTGGAGGGTCTGTCAAATGCTTTTCTCCATGGCAATGTTAATGCTTTGTCTGGACTTTCACAGTAAGGTACTGAACCTTTCTATCTTCATGGTGGCAAAACCAGACTAAGTTACAGGTCAGATCTATGGAGAGGCAAGCCCACTCACAATCAGAATGCCTGTTTTTCTAGGTATTTTTGAGCTATAAAAATCTGTAATTGAGGAAATGTAATGCACAGCTGTCATACTGTTGGAACATTCCAGGCAGAGCAATGACATCTCCGTACAAACAAGGAGGTGATCACCCCCCGACCAAAAAGTTACACAGTGCACCTTTAAAGAAGCACCAGTCACTCTTTCCAGTGATCTCAGCTCTTACCTGAGGCTGGCAGAGGGGGCGAGGGGTTTTTCTGGGCGTTTGGGTGGGTGACTCATGGGGCGACCCTTCCCGGCCCCGGGCTTGGGCGGGGGCAGCGGCGCAGGTTTTGAGTGCTTTTCTGGCACTGGTTTGTCAACTGTGAGAAAAACAACACAAACACAATTAGAGCAGAGGCAAAGGATGTTTTCAGACCACAAAGCAGTGGACACACCAAACTACCAAACACCAAACTTTTACAACTATTTTCTAAAACACTCACACTGAACACCTCTTTGAATATAGTTCTGTGGGGCTTTCAGAAATGTTATTTTTTGTAACACTTTTTAACAACAACACCTAAATAGTCTTAAAAGATGCACTGGGCAACTTTTCACCATTTCCATCCAGCCTTTGTTCCTTTCGGGTGTTTTTATTCCTCAAAACACAATCCTTCCTTCTGTGAATGGAAGCAACTCTGCACAGATCTGACTTATAATGTAATGTAGTGCTGTTAACTGCGTGTCGCCTTTGTGATAGAGAAGTTTAATCTGTACAGTGGAACAGTCTAGACAAATCAGGAACATTTCAATGGAGACATCTGCTGGAGGAATATCCATTTGAAATTTTACCTAGTGCATCTTTAATAAAGTATAAAGAAAGTCTGAATAATGACCAAATACTTGATTATATAAAATACTAATCGGAGCCCAATTCTAATGGTTGGGGCAACTTCAAAACTCAAGTGGGTTGCTCTTAAATTATCAAATAAAAAGTTAATGGTGGGCCTCATTGAAACATGTCTCCAGATTGAGTTAGATATTATTAACATTTATATGTACTAAGCCTGAATTATTCTTAAAAAACACCCCAACTCCTAATTCCTAGTTCAGTAGTTGCCTTAATAAATACCTTGACTCGTAACCATAACCCCTAAGTAGTTCCTAAGCCTGAATCATTCTTAATAAACCATTACCAAACATTTTTTTATTACAAATTCTGACTTTCTTTGTGCTTCATTAAGGCTGGTAAAGGTCATGTTATTATAAAGTGTAATATATTGAAGTAAAAATTGAAATCCAAGCAGATAAACTAAGGAAAGATTTAGTTGCATCATGGTCAGAAGAGCCATGTATAGAAGACCTCTCTGTGCGGTTACCAAAGCCATTCTTAGCGTCATAAACAAACATGGCTGTATGTGCAAGGCTCTGACAACAAGTTTAATGGATGGGCCCCCTCTGCCCTGAGAGCTCTGAGTGGGTGCTCTATCTTTTGCTCCACGTGAATAATAATATGTAAATGACTGGAGCTGTCTTGTGGGAAATTCAAACAGTGTGTCAGGCTGAATTTACATGTAATTGGGTGCTGATTGAAGGCAGACTGTCATGCGTATTATTGCATGGATACTTCAATAGAGGGCAATATCAATTTGAAGAGTACACATCCATTCTGTATATAATAGGTTATCAATACAAGGCACGCAGTAGCTATGCACGTGTGTGTGCGTGCTGGTGTATATATATATATATGAATGTTATGTATTGTGGGTGTGTGTCTATCTGTGTACAGTTTGGACCCCCGACTCTGTAAATAAATTTATATAGAGAGTGAATACTGTGAGTTACTGCTCCGTCTTAATTTAAAAAGCTATCCCTGCACATCGTTTCGACTTGTGTACCTATATTGATTTATTCCAAGTGAAATTAATTGGCTGAGGGGAACATGCAAAAACACATGTATGAAAATGTGTGTATTCTGTGCGATCAATGCCTGCGATATACTGTATGAGCTTTATCAGGAAAGATATTGGGACACAGTACTACAATATATGATATAGTATTAGCTCTTGTAACTGCAAAGTGTCTACAATGAACCAGCTGTATTTTTGAATTTTTTTTTAACACAATGTACTTTTTTAATCTTAATAAATACTACAAAACCCTGAGCTACTCCACTGACTTACAGTATAAACTCCTTCTTGCCTTAGGGTCAAAGAGAGCGTGCTGTGTTGATTTTAAATATGTCCATTTCAAACATGTTTCATTAGCAGGAGAGGGAGAAACTCTAATTAACTAGAAAAAAAAAAAGCTGCCCACAGCAATTCCTGTTCTTATGCAGCGTATTCCTCATTTAAAAGTGTGCATGCAGCATTTCTACTACTGGACTTGTCTGAACATGTAACGTGATCACAGAAAGCTCCAGAGCTGCCAGGGCTCACAACAATGTAATCCAATTCTACAGCCACTCTCATTGTGTTAGCTAAGAAAATCAAATTCACATCTTTTATAGTTGTGTTAGCGAAGATGACTTAAAGTAAAAAAAAATAAAAATAAAAAATTAAATGTTTGTGTATGATATTTCTACACGAGTTTTGATACAGAGAAAGGTGACTGTGAAATACCGCAGTGTAAGTACAAGTAAAGTTATAATTAAACCTGGCAAGATAATAAATTCTGAACTGTGATAGACTGCTGAAGAAAATATATTAAGCATAAATTATTATCTTGAAACAATTCTTACGATGGAGTATAAGGGTCAGATATAAAAAAAAAAAAACATGCTGGCGGTACGAGAATAAAGTCGTAACATTTCAACATTAAAGTCGTAATATTATGAGAATAAAGTCATAATTTTACAAGAATAAAGTTATAATATTACGAGAATAAAGTCGTAATAAAATCAAAGTCAAGGTGAAAAATGTGGCAGAAGAAGAACCTTGTTTTTCAATATAAAACCAAAAATAAGAAAACGAACAACAATTTTCTGAATTATTTGCGCCTCTGGACTGAACCAGGACTAAACCAGGACTAAACCAGGACTAAACCAGGACTAAACCAGGACTAAACCAGACCGGAACTGAGACCAGGACTTAGGGTGTTTTCACACCGACAGTATTTGGTGCGCACCAAACGGTCCATTCGAACCAAAAGTGGTTAGTTCGGTTCGTTTGCGTTGGTGTGAAAGCGTCAATCGGACTCGATTGACTCGATTCGCTTGAATCCGCACCAAATGACCAACTTTGGTGCGGTTCCTCTGGTGTGAACGCGAATCCGGGTCCAAACCATAGACAGTATGGACAAACGGACTATTCGAAATGCATCATGGGAGGGACACGCGTCTCCTCTGCCTGAAATGACGCACTGTACGACTCCAGCGCAGTAACAGACTGTTGTCCAGACGCAGATGCGATTCATTTTCGAAATATTTTACCAACAATGGCCAATACAGAGAATGTAACACACGAAGATCAGAGCAAGTATCAGTGTGCGAACGTGTGGCTCCAGAGTGAGTCAAAATTGGGGGTGCGTACCCCTGTTCGGGACCTACACGCACAGAGACGACCCGGTGTCCCCCGTGATCACACAGCAACCAACATTTGTTATTTTAGGCTTTAATTAACCAAATAATTTCATGGCAATAGGCAATCGCCCATTCAATTGACACAACTTAAAAAAGTCCCTGTTTTTAGCCTAGTGTGAGAAATACAGTCGGACTAGATCCAAACCAGAGTCCTGAACCAGCGGGGGCAGGTCCAGTTCAGGCCGGGCTCAGAGGAGCTGGAGCGGGGAGCCTCGACCTGAGGAAGCGCTTTCCCCGGGAAGAACCAAATGCGCGGAGGACGGACGCTCAGAACAACATATAACAAACCAAACTGGACTCACGCTTCTGTCCGGACACGGAAACAGCGCGCAGACGACTGAACGTACCCGCTCAGACCCAGTCATTGCGCACTGGTCTTGCTCGCCACCGTTTGGAACGAGCACATGGAGGACAGAGCCTCCGGACCATCTGACCAACGCGCTTGTAGGACGACAGAAGACCAAGGACCAGACCCCAGCCCCGTCCTGAGGAGCTGCGCGCTACTGTGAGCACTGTTGGCTGCTGCTGTTACCCGAACTCTGGGCTGATGCGGTGAGTTTGTACAAAGTTCTACATGATGCTGTTTTATGAGTTCATGGTGATAATTTGAGATGAGGACGGCCCGTGGTATTAACAGGAACATCGGTGTTGATAACTGGAGTATCGCTGTTTTACCGGGGAAACAGAGACACGTCAATCGAACCAGTTTTGGTTCGTTTGCCGGTGTGAACGCGGACCACACTGGAGTGTATTTGCTACATAATAACAATTTTATTGCCTGGTGCGAACCAAATAATCGAACTAGCGGTGTGAAAACGACCTTAGACAAGGACTGGGTCAGGAACCAAGACTGAGACCGGGATCAGACAAGAACTGAGACCAGGATTGAGACCGGGAACAGGACCAGGACTGAGATTGGGACTGAAACCGGGACCAGACCAGGACTGAAAAAGGTTCAGTCCTGGTTCAGTCCTGGTTCAGTCCTGGTTCAGTCCGTATGCGGCGCAATATTCCCGCATCGCATTTTAAAGTCACGGAAACGCCATTTCCCATTTCCGTGACTTAAACCAGGACTTAACTAGGACTAAACCGTTTTCAGTTCTGGTCTGGTCCCGGTCTCAATCCTGGCCTTTCTGGTTTAGTTCCGGACCTGATTTAGTCCTGGTTTCTTCTCCTTTACAAAATGCTCCAAATTCTCCATTCTCCACTCGTTCAGACTTTCCAAGCTGCCGATATTCTCATAATATTACAACTTTATTTTGACTACGACTTTATTCTCATAAAATTACTACTTTATTCTCGTAAATTCACGACTTTATTCTCGTAAAATTACGACTTTATTCTCGTAAAAATATGACTTTATTCTCGTAAAATTACGACTTTTCTGGCTTCGACTTTATTCTCATAATATTACGACTTTATTCTCGTAGCGCCAGCATGTTTTTTTTTTTTTATCTGACCCTTATACTCCGTCGTAACTGACAAATAACCCTAAAATATTATCCCCCAAAGCTATTCAAAATGTACAATTAAAAACATGAGCTGCAAGAAATGTATCAGAATGAAACACTTAAGTAGGTAGTTTTCATCTGTAGAGAGTAAAGTTTTTTTCTTTAATCTTCTTCACTTGAAATATAAGTATAGAAAAAAGGTTTACCACTCATAACAAATAGCAAATAGCAAAGGTTTTAGACTGAGGACCTTGCAGCAATGATTGTTGCTTGTTTTGTTTTTTCTTTTTCCAATTGCCTGCATCAGTACAGTATTATGACCAAGATTTTGGCCGCTATCCTGCTGACAAGACACAGAAATGTAACTTCATGAAAATCACTTGATATGCTTAATACCATAATAGAGGACAGTTAATCTTGTGAAGAGCTGCAGTAGATACAGTAGATAGTCTGCACATGTGCAAAAAAGAACAAAAGAATCACTTGGAATTTTAACAGATTAAGATGTTTGAGATTAACTGTTTCTTTTTTTTTTCATGGAAATATATTAGGCTGGTTTTGAATATTTTCCGCAAATTATGTAATTTAAATTTACTACAAATGCAAACACAGCCCTTATTTCCCGCACACCTATGAAAGACCTGTGTAGTCACATTTCTTGCAGGCATTTATCTACACTAAAGTTGAGTGTTCACATTAAGTATTATGTGTATTCTTTTGACAGTAGCCAAAACTAATTATCAACCTGTACTGCAGATTTATGGGTGATCGCTGATACACTAAAAAGTGCAAAAATTGGGCTGCTATATAAAGCATTGTGATTAGATTTGTGATTTATGTATTATATTTATTTCAGTGATATGATTTGGTTTTAAGTTAATTTTAAATGAGTTCAGAATAATTGACAAAGACTGACTGACTAATTCAAGAATCACTTTCAAGGACATGTTTGTACAGATTTAAACTACAGGGTTTTCAGTTTTATATGCAAAGTAAGACAAGCAGAATCAGAGGAAATGTTGTTTATGAAGAAAATTATGATACTTCAAAAACTTCAGATTTTGTGATTTGCCAATTGCTTCCATTCAAATTGTGATTTTGACTAATTAATCTGGCAGCTCTACCATGTTTTATTTAAGTGGGAATAAATGCACAGAACTGAACCTACCTTTATCCTCTGACCGGATAGGATGGGGTTTCTTCTCCGCACTTGGCACCTCTGGTTTAAGCACTGAAAAACGAAACATTTTGATTAGACTATTTTTAATCCGTCTTTCCTTTGTCTTGTTTTTCTGCGAAAGATTGAGCGAACTCAACCTTTTTGTTGCAAACCACAGTTACATGCACACAGGAAGTCTGCTACAGTGCTTTCAAGGCAATAGTCACATCCGGTGGAGACAGGAAAGACTGAGGTTAAATTTTATAAGTGGCATCACATTTTTTGCATTACTGCTAAACATAAGCTACCAATCAAAAGTTTGGACACACCTGCTAATTCATTGTTTTACTTCTTGTTTACCATTTTACTCTGCATTTTTAATATATACGGACGGATTTTGGCAGTGCTGCAAAATCTTGGCCTTCTCTCAATGAGCTTCATGATAAAGCTACTGTACCTGTAAAGGTTTTCACTTCAGGGTCAAAAAATGGGCTCAAAGCAATGGGTGGCTATTTTTTTAAAAGTCTAAAATCTAAAACAAGTAGAGTCATTTTAAGTTTATTACTGTTTACTGTACCCCAGATGTGTTCATAGTTTTGTTGCCTTCATTGAGAGACTACAGTGTGAATAATCATGAAGACATAAAATAAATAAAAAGTGCCCAAACCTTTGACTAGAACAAATAAATGTTTTTAATGAATTTAAAAAGTGCACTCACCAATACTTTGCTTTGACGGAGGCGGTGGCTTTCTTGGTTTCTGGGGGGGAAAAAAAACTAGGTCAGGCTGTGATCAAAGTTAAGAGGGAAACAGGTAACAAATTAGGTAACAGATAAATATGTTAAATCTAATATACATGATTCGAAAGGATTGGAAAAGTGATGAGCGTAAACAAACTATCCAGAGCCACATTCTTGCATCAGGTGAATCCTCATTAATTTAACCAGAGAAAACGGCTGCTCTGTTTGGAGGAGCTCTTAAGGTCTCAAATGAGGTCAAAACAAGGGTTCAGCAAAGCAAGCTACTAAAATGCACTTTGCATGTTTTTTAGCATGGACTTAAATACACTGTGATACACTACTCCATCAAAATGAATGCATATTAATACTTAGAGCATTACAGGAGATAGATGATTGATTAATTACACAACCCTGTCAGTAAAAGCTGTGGTTTGGTGGAGGAAATATGACAAATTTTTCTGTTAAATGATAAAAGTCTGCATTGTTTATGTTCTGGAAATACTGCTTTTTATTCATTTCAGCCTACACCTTTTCGGTTTTCCTGCATGTTAAGTATTTCTGTTTCCAGAATGATGTCAGAATATACCTGTGACCAAAATAAACTAATCAATTTAATTTTATTCATTTTTAATAAGACGACTTTGAAAATTGTGATCGATCAATATTAGAGAAAAATAATTATCTTTTTTTGGGGCATATTACCCAGTCCCAAGAGAATACCAAAAGAAGATTTAGGGGGCAAAAGAGCACATGGAGAAATGTGATATGGGTGATTCAGAGCAATAGTAAAACCTGAATAAGATAGTGTCATGAGTTTAGAATGTATCTACATCAGCATACTTTACAATGCTTTATCTGCTTTATACAGAAATCTTATTATCTGGGGAATCTATAATGATGTAATATGAACCAACTCGGGGCCGTGTTTCTTCCAATATATCAACATGGAGTAAAGTGTTGGTCTTCACCCCACAGGCTACACAAGATATACTTATGTTTGGATCGCCTTTTAATCCATTATCATCACAGCGTAATCCGGGGTGCAAGTCTTCCTCCGTAATAATATGTTTTAGTAATTACACATTATCCACCGTGTGCAAGCTCATATATGTATACCTGGTAAACTCATTCAACTATGAAGCCAAGCAACAGCGGCATACAAAAGAGTCATGCTGTCACTTAGCACAGTGCATAGCCACATACAGAAAATACTCTATTTTAATCAGATATACATGGATATTTTAAATGTATTATTAAGTTGCATGAGCACACCCTTGTTTTTTCCATTTGTTTATGCACATAAGTAAAAGGAAAGCAATTGGGTTCACAGCCTTAGATTATTTCACTACACGGTGCACTAAAAACTGATGCATTCAATTTGAAGCAAAAAGTTATGGGAAGCACAACTGCTTTCTTTGTTAAGATAATCACTAATAGAATTGGATTATAGGATTTACTCAATTACTTAAAATGCACAAAGGAAATTTTCTGGTGGGGGATGCTTTAATGCCATACTGTGGAGCATCCCAGCAAAGCCATAACCTCTCCTTAAATTGCTATATCTCCATGGAAACAGGAGTGGGTAGCACCACCAGTAAATATGCATTTTCTGAAACATTCATTGAACAAATGAAAACACTTGTAATTAAAGGGCTCATACAACTCTATTTTCTAATCTATGTCATAATGTTGTTTCCTAATGAAAAACACATGTGGAGTTGTGTTTTGTTTCATTCACACGTTTAACACAAACCCTGCATATTTAGGCAGTGTTCTTCTCTCGAAATGAAAACACTCTGTTCCACCTTGTAATGTCATGTGGTAATACAGGAAGTGTTCCACTATGTTTTTAAACTCTATACATCTTCATTCAAATCATTTGGATAATTTCATAATTTGAGCTTAAAGCTCAAAAGGACACATTTGGCATAATATAAGACATTTAAATAAATGCCACTATTCTAAGTAAAGAAATAACAGCTCCATGTAGAAAAGCAGCTACAGATCCCCACCAGTACATGTGTACACCTGTTTGCAGCAACTGGTAGATTTGACTATGCATTCTAAGATTTCCATTACAAAATCTCATCTCTGTTCAGAAGATGGGTAGATATATTATTTTAGCATACACATCAAGACACAGAGTGGATACATTTTGGGCACAGCTGAGAGATGTAGCCGCTGAAGTGGGAATAAAAAGCCCAGTAGGTGACCTTTTAAATGTGAATCCCAGCTTTTCACACTGCAGGACAAACTTGGCCTTTTCTCACCAAGACTGACACAGTTTAGTTCCATACAAGGTAATGATAAAAACCTCAACATAAATAAGTCATGCTATTCCTATCAACTTTAAAAATACAGCAGAGAAAGCTAACAGTTTGGGTGGGTAACAAGGACAAAAGGAGGACTTGAACAATGTTTATATAGACAGACAGATCACCTTGCACTCAGTTACTGTGGCCAACCTGTACTTGCCTATAATCACTGCATTTTTTCTCCACCTCTGGACTTTTATATAATGCATTATTTAAGTTTAACTTTTAACACCTTTAGTATTCCATGTAGATTAACAAACAGATGGACATACAAATTGCAGATTAACAAAGAAATGGACATAGAAATAAGATTAACAACTGTAATAACCTATAATTTGCATAAGTGATGTTAACAGCAACCTTTTCGCTTTAGTTCAGTGGAGATTGGCAATTATTAGGCTAAAATCATGCAAATAATTCTAGTGAAGATGTATGGAGTGGAGCACTTCCTGCATTATCACATGACATTACAAGGTGGAGTGTTTTCTGTTTGAGAAAAGAACTCAGCCTAAATATGCAGGATTTGTGTGTTAAACACATGCAAATTAAACAAAACACAACTCTGAGTATGTTTGTGATGAGGAAACAATATTATAACATAGATCAAATAGATTTATAGGTCTCATGTTACACTATTAGTTGAGGTTTACTTATAAGTCAAATGAAAAATTACCCACAAACATAAAACATCAGCTTGTTCCAGTTAAATTATTGATTGATTTGACTGAGCAATATTGATTCAGTGTTTAGGCAAAATTTCTACTTGCGAACAACACACAGTTGAAGAGATTGTGTGTGGGTTCTGTCATTAGAAAGCTGACTCATCTTTATCACCAATCTACACCTACACCTTTATACTATCACAATTACAAACTCTATAGAGCTCCTCCATTTCACTTATAATTAGTCTTTGGTCCATTGCTCACCATACTGATAGACTGCTGTAATAGATAAGGAGGAGCTGGTTAGTGTCTGATGCGGTGAATGGGGCAAAGTACAAAAAAGGTCCTCAGAGCCAGAGTAACGCTCATATTAATTCTGTATGAGAAACTAACCTTGGCATAAAAGCATAAAGGCCTCATTCATAAAGAGGAAGTGTGATAATGCATGGCAGAATAAATCACACAGGATGTGACTTTGCATATATCACACAAAAAGACTGATATGCTGTAATTTTCATTAAATGGTAAGAAAGGTTTCAAAGATGTTCCAGATGACTATATTTGAAACCTTATACCACCAACTTCACAGAACTTTATTTCATTTAAAAGTCTGAATTTTACTTTGGTTTCCTTTTCACCATACCTCTTTCTCTTTTTTTCCCCCTTTTATTTAATTATCTACATATTTAATTCTGTTCAAAGTGCACATTGAGAGAAAGCTGAAATATGAACGGAAACTAATGGAGAGAAAATGTTTGAAGGGGTCCAACATACAGGTACAGGATTATCAAACATCTGAGACTGCAAACTTTGATTTTGACTTTATTGTGACATTTATGAATTTCTGCCAATTTCTACAAAGTTCACTCACCGCTTCATGATCCGACCTTAGTGACGATTTTAGAGACCCTCTTAATGCTCCGATCTAAAATAAAAACAAAACATTAATACAAACATTGAGAAAATATACCACTGTGACTAGCCGATTCCTGCAAATCATTCTAGGGCTCATTAGAGATGCTACAACTTCCCCCAGACGGACACCAGGCAGACTGTCAGGAGGCCTTATTATTTTTAATGCATAGTGATTATAATTACATGGAAAGGCTTGTACAATGCATAATACAGGACTTGGGTCATCCTTACATCACCTTATTATAAATGTCACTTAGATAAGGAATCAATATGCCACTGTATGGACAATGGACAATATTGAAACGTGTGTCAACAATACATGTAGAAAAGATGTACAATGCATGATGATGATTGCAAGCTAAAATTAGTGGGAGGAATACAGTGCTGAGATATTAAAAGCCCAATATTGACTCTTGTGAGCTTTCAGCCATGTTAAAATGTTGTTACCTCCTCAGAAACTGTTACTGTTTGCTTCATTCCCACATGTTTGAGAAACTCTTAATTATTATCAAAATGCTCTTTTCCACCTTGTGAAGTCATCAAGCGGTAGTTTTCAAGTTAACAGCTGCCTTTAAGCTTTTGTTCAGTTTAGTTCAGATTGGAAATTTCAGGGCTGTAATTATCCAAATGATTCTCGTGAAGGTGTATGGAGTTTAAATTTAAAAAGAAGTTGGAACAGAGTGTTTTCAGTTTGAGAAAAGAACTCAGTCTAAATATGCAGGATTTGTGTGTTAAACAACCTTCAGCATTATACAACATGATAACATGAAAGTAGCGTAATATGGGCCCTTTAAACACCCAAGTTTTATTTTTCAATATCTGTGAATATTTGCAAGTATAGGTAGAAAAAGTAAACAATTTACATCCGAAACAATACAGGAAGGCTTTTTTCAAAATGTGTACTAACAAACTATAATAAAAAAAGTAGTAGTGGTAGTAGTAGTTTTGCAAATAAAATACAAAATATAACACAATGAGATGTTTAAAATGTAACCAAGTACAACTGTTATACTCACATCTTTGTCTGCATCATTGACCACCGTCACAAAGTTGTCGGGGAACACGCCCTCTTTCCCTCCGACCTCCCCTCTCCACCAGCCAGGCTCCCCCGTGTCCTTACCACAGCGCACACAATAACATGACATTACTACACACGTACACACAACAGGGTTAAGAATCACTCAGTTCCTCTATTTGATATGCAATACATAAATCATAATACAATAACAGCACAATTCTGCAATATCATTATTTCTTCAGAACCAAATACCAACAGTATTTCTTTGTTAAATCACTAAATGCACAAACTTAATATGAAAAACAACATTTTAATAATCAAAACAGTGAATGCTTCAAATGTGTAGAGATGTCACAAAATTCGTAAAACATACCAAAAAAATTAAATACTCGAGGCGATATAGCAACCAACAAAACAGAAAACCAACACACTGCAGACTTCAGCGTATTTAATAGTACTTCTGACATTTGGCCACTAGATGGAGGCAGCTGTCTAAATGAACTCAAGCAGTGAGCCCATGTTTGTGTGTCAGAGCGCTCAAGATGACAGAGCAGTAATCATCATTATCATGCCCCCGGGGCAACTGCGGCTTCTGATCTGGTTTGACTGGTTCTCTGTGCTTACTGTGTCCTGCCAGGATTTCAACAGAAGGTTTGTTAATTAAATGTGATCGCTTAAAGGCGTAGAAAAGAACTATTCAAGAATATCCAAAAGAACACTAGAGTAGACTGTTAATAGACTTCACTGCTGTATAGCAGCAGTACTTTACAATAGTGTATTGTACTATTACCTTTTATTTTAAAAGGCTATATAAAAATCTAAGTACAGTATGTAACTTTCTGGAGGGGTCACCTGCATGATTCCATGGAAACTGAAAGTTAAAACTACAGTTCGGAACATTCTCCAAGGATAAAGATATATTACTGTGGAAGATAGTAGCCACATTAACATTTCCATGGAGACATGCTGTGGATGCCCTCCTCCGGGCCAAATAAAAGTCAGGTAAAGACAAATGTTTTATGTACAATAAAACTGGAAAAAAAAAACCAAAAAAACATGAGCTTTATTTTCGTCCATTATTGGGGAAAGGTTACTGTGGCTCTAAGGATTTAGCTGAGATTTTAGTCACAAATCAAAACAAAGAACTCTATCATTCCCTTATTACTACTGGTTCTTTCTACCTAAGTCCACACAAGTGCAATGGTCAATCTACATCATCCCAGGATAATGAGAATGAACTTATCTGTGTCTACTGGTGAGCCTTCCAAGATCTACATTAAACTTCTTGGCACTCTTTGCGTCATTGAATTAAAGAGGACCAAAAAAACACTCAAACAGGTTTGTTCAGATTCTATTGGAGATTCAAGTAAGAGTCATGGCTCAAAACAAACATCAGTAGCATTACCATTCTTGCGTAATCAAAAAAACGATTCAGTGTTTTGAAAATAAGACATAATTTAGTTCATATTGAACCAGCAGTATGAATAAGAGTTGATCGTTGACATCTACAGGGGCATCGCTATTGCCATTAAGTGGAATTTACTAATTTGTTTTTGTTAAACAGAGATAAACATAGACCACTTATTTGCACTCGACCTTGAATATCCAACACATGCCAATATTTTGTTTGGGTTGACCAGCCCAAGGTGTGAAAACTGCACAAAAAGGGAAGACACTGCTCTCTTATCCAGTTTGTAGTAAAACAGGGTGGTAGATGAGTTTGCAATCAATTAAAGTCATATTTTGGGAAACAATATGAAAACTGGTACTACATATGACCCAAAAAATATCAGCAGATCTTATCAGCCATTGGCTTCTCTGGAGTCTTAACAATCTGCGTCAGCATTGGCTATGAAAAAGCTCATATCGCTCAGTCTCTACATGGAGATACTGGGACTGGTCTTTGAATAATAAGCTGGATGAGCAGAACCAAGATGCACTGACCTTGCTGAGGATGTGGATGATGTCCCCCTCCTTTAGTGTGAGTTCGTCTTCATTTGTGGCCTCAAATGCAAATGTCACTTTGCAGTATTCTTTTGCTGAAGAAAAAAAATTACAATTTGAGAATATTAAAACACAAATTCCATACAAATCTAGTCCTGTATTACTCACTGTGTCGTTTCACGGAGCCCCTGCCCTCTGTTGTGTCTCCTTTGGGTGCTTCTGTCGAGGTGGGGGTGGGATGGTTGGGATGGGCAGGCTTTGCGGATGGTACAGATGGGACAGGCTATAATGAAGCAAATTAAATATATGTAGATGGGTCTGGGCCATGAATGAATGTAGTACATGACACAATATGTAGGGTCTGTAGCATTCTGAGAAGCGCAGATGTTTAAGGGGATTTACGGGTTAACAGAGCATCAGTTGTATCGTGCAAATTTAAGTGCTCATTGTAAAAGTTCAAATTTTCTGACTTGTGGACATTTGATGAGAAAATGCCAATCTCAAGGAAAAACTGAAGGAGATGAGACACTGTTGAGTAGAGGAGGGTAATGTTAGTGGAGGAAAGAGTGAATTCTGCAGTGGAAGAAAGACAATAGAAAACAGTTATACATGCTACAAGAACAGAACTTGTAGTGCAGAGTGCCACATAAACAGATAAGAGTTCGAAGAGGGGTGGACATCTATTTTTTGTCCATGTTGTTAAAATGTTATTGTTTTATGAAGTGGCAGTGAATGCAAAGGGATGTGACGTAAATGTGAGCCTAAAATGTGTCTATTGATAAAAGCATGCTTGTTTGACTGTTGTGCTGACAGAAGATGACAGATTTTATGCTGGTTTGTTTTATACAGAGAAACTTGCATTCAGAGTCATGAGCACTGATGTCTTGAATCGAATTGTCCTTTCTTACAACAAAAGATTTGAAGACATTTTAAAACATGGAACCTCAGTGATTTCTGAACATTAATTCCCTGTTGTGCATAGAACATGGAGAAACAAAAATCTACATCGACAGTAAACAATAACAGTAGACAGGAAAAAATGACCAAGAACAGGCCTACTCATTCTAAACTCACTTTTAATTTCAAATGAGTTCCAGCGAAGATGTCTCCAAAACCGACCCCCATGATCTTAGAGGGGGGCCGCAGCGCTCCGTTCCCCGAGCTCCCTGGAGGTGACGTGGGGGAGGTGACATTTTCTGAGGCAGGTGCTTCTACAGATCCTAAACGACAACAACACATAATAACATAATTGGAGGAATAATTAAATAATAATAAATAATACAAAAAGAAAAACATTTGAATGCTTCAAATTAGAAACTCTAAATTACAAATCGTATTTCTAAAATATTATTATATGATTTTTTTTTTTTTTTTTTAGCATTTGGCAGCACTTCACATAACACATATCACAAGTTTCCTTGCAAGAGACAATTATTTTTAGACAGGCAAACAAAAACAATTGGTGTGGCCCTTTGTTTTGTTGACTCTAAAATCAGGTCAGACTTATTATTCTATAACTGGTCCCAAATTATGCAGTTTTACTTTTACAGGTTTATACAACAGAAAGCCATAGAAAGCACTCAGAAGTACCTGAACACATCCTAATCAAATGTAAGGATTTAAGTTTATTTTGGTCACTAGCATGCGTCTCTATTGCAAACAAGGCAGGCTTCAGTGGCACTTATAAAGTATAAACATTAGGCCGTCTTTAAACCCGACTCAAGCTCAGACATGTTGAAAAAGGTCACGCCTAAACTCCAAAACTGCTCCACATTTTATTGACTACAAGAGAAGACGACAAATCAAGACAACTGTCACTTAAGCTGCATATTACTATGTACAAATGTAAAATGCGTTTCTGTACCGTCTTTCATTCCCGGCTCCTCTGGTGTGGCCTCACTGGGCTCTCCGTCCTCTGCAGCTGCGTCCAGTTCTTTGACAAAGTTTGAAGGAAAAAGTCCAGACTTTCCATTAAAAGCACCACTCCACCAGCCCTCCTCTACCTGAAGAAGTAAAGTAAAAAATGATAAGATTCCTCATCAAATGATCATTTCACAGGGAGGAGTTGAAACTGCATTATCCCTGCCAATTAAATAAACAAACTGTTTCCAAATGCCACAAAAACTGATTTTGAGAGAAATCCTATGAAATAAAACTCTGGCCAAACTACTGGTTTCGCAATAAATGAAAACCATGAGGAAAAGGATTACATGAACCAGCTCTAATTTGGTCAACAATTATATATGAACGCATTTGCTGTCAGTACAAATGCCATTCAAATTTGATGATATGGCTTACTGTACACCACAATTAGTTACTTTCTTTCTAAATTAATATTTATTCTCAAAATTTTAAGGTTGAATAATCCAAAAATGAAATGATGGATATAAAAGGAGGTTATCAAATGACTTCTCTTACTACTTCAGGCCAAACTCAACCCAAATGTTTGAAGTAAATAAAAAAGGAAGTAGTAGTAGTGGTAGTGGTACCTCTTCTGTGACGTCGATGATGTCTCCCACCTTTAGCTCGAGCTCGTCTTCGTTCTGGGGCTGGTAGTCAAACAGCACTCTGCACTGTCTTCTCTTGGGCTCTGTCAACAGGAGAAAAGAGGAGTTGGACCTGCTCGCTGGCCTGCCACAATACATGTTGTCTCTGTGTGTCAGGGTTTAAAATCTGGGTCCAAGGGGCGGGGCATAGCAATAATATGGGTGGGGCATGAAGAGGAGAGGGGCTAATCCAGGAAATGAAGAGCAGTCTAACCAAGGTGCTTTGAGTCAGCTGATCCTCCAAAAGACACACACCCATTCAAAACACAGCTGTTCTGACACATACTCCCATAGAGATTACAGGCGACACTTTAGATGTGGTTTAATGTGTTACTATAAAGACATCGCGTAGATTAATGAATACATGGAAGATCCAAATAAAGAAGCCATAACTGACAGACCTTATGAAGTAAATAGCTGATAGACAAAACATTAGAATTAAAAAAAAAAAAAAAAAACTTTAAAAAAGGTGCACTGCTTTTCTGGTGGAGGGTCAGTTACGCACTTTTACACGTCATTGCTTTGCCTGGAATGTTCCATGGTATGACATTAAACATTAAGATAGCATTTAATCAATACTTTTGTTTCTATTACTCACAAATGGAAGAATTCCTTAAGTGAATAGGGGAGACTCTCCACAGATTTGAATTGCAATGTTGAGTAGTGCTGTGACCTGCATGTCTCCCTTGTGATAAATTGGTTTAATGTATACTGTGGAAAATTCTACACAAAGCATTAACATTTCCATGGAGATAAGTATGTGGTGGACCCTCCACTAAAAATCTTATGTAGGGCACCTTAAAAAAAAAGTAGCGTGCTGCAAAATATGATTAGGAACAAATGCAAATCCAGAGCCACTGGTTACAGTTGTATACAATTTCTATTCAAATATAAAATTGGACCTTTCCTTGACAGCTATAAAATACTGATTGGCAAATAGACTAGATCTATATCAGAAGTAGTATGTTCACATGGTAATATTAAATACACTATATTTTGTTGAATATGACATTATGTTGTTAAATAAGCATGGAGTACCAAACCTTTCCCTAAGATCAAAATCAAGTTAGAACATTTTCCTGACAGCACTAGCATCTACACTAACATAGTTCATTTCAGACAGATAGAATTGAACGGGATGAAATAGATTCTTAACTCTAACCTGAGGGGAATCATTTCTGTCTTTTACACTTACTGTGCGTTATCAATGCTGTCTTGTTCTGCCTACGACCACAGAGCAAGACTGGACTTGGAGAAAGTATGCAGCAGCAGCAGAGACTCAATCAAGCTCTACCCATCCCCCTCCTTTTTATAAACTGAGTTATGACTTCAGACAGGTGAGTGGGGCGTATAGTAGGCATGTGCAAAAATATTGAAATATCGACATATCGTGATAATAATTTGGATCCAGTATCATTATTTTGGGCTGCTGTATCGATGTATCACTAAGATTATTTTTTGGTACTTTTTGGCATTTTAAGTTTGTGTGACTGCACAACAATTTTGTTCCATATTTAGAGGAAGGAAACGTGTTTATGCAATACACTTATTCACATATTCACTGTTTTGATGATGAAAATATATGTATTTCATAATAACTTTCCACAAGAAGAGGTTTAACAACAAATACTGTTGCTAAAATGTATTTGCTTCTTCTTAAAAACAACATTAATATATCACAGTAACGCGTGCAATATATATCGATATCATATGTACACCGATAATCATGATAATACAATATGATGAGTCATTTATCGTGTATCGAATCATGAGGGACCCTGTGATTCCCAACCCTAGTGTAAAAAGTGAAAATAAAACAGTTTGCAGCGTACTCTTGGAGGCAGCTGGGGGGTGTGGCTGGAACCCCCCCAGAGGGATCCCGATGGCGCTCATGCGGTGGACTAGGTTGGCCACGTTCCCTGCAGACTTCTCCCGGAGCTGAGGGGGCTGAGCTGGAGCCTCCTCTTTGGGCTCATTCTTGGTCTCCTTGGTCTCTTTAGAATCCTTTTTCACCTCCTACAAACAAAGACATACATAGCATCAGTATGGGACCATTTTATCGCTTAAATTTTTATAGACGACGGATATGTTTTTGTTTTTTTATGGTCAATGCTGATACCAATTGTTCAGAATTCAGAGAACCCGACAGCCGATTAGCTCTGCCAATATTTTTAGGCTGATTTTGTATTTAAAATTTACTACAAACTCACCACAACCTTATAGGAGAGCTGTCATTTAAGACTAACAGCCAATATGGTGAAAAGAGCAAATATCAGCCTGATATTTAATCTATCTCTATTTTTTTTTTTTTTATCTCAAATGATACAAGTTTGATTGAATGCACAGTCTTTATATTAGCAACAAGTATATCAGAAGAAGCAATGTGAAGAAGATTCTTTGATTAACCAATTGTCATGACTGAGATTGCTAGAACTTAGAGCAAAAATTTGATTAAATCTATGTACCGAAACAGTAAGCTTACTTGTGTTCATTTAGCAGCTTTTTAATGTTATTTTTTGTGATAAAAAGAACACATTTATATTCAAAAGGTTTTACTGGTGGTCACACACGAGAGCAATGGTGACATCTTAGTGTTTTTTGAGTCTGTTGAGAATGCGTGTACAATTGTGACGTCTTCAAAACACTATAATCTGACATCATCAAGTCACTAGAACTGCAATTCCCATCATAAAAGAACGCAAGATTTACAATCCAATTGCGATTATGGTATTCTTCAACTGTTGACTTAGTTTAACAGTTTTATAGCCAATGGAATTGTTTCGAGTTAAATGGCAGTGACGCTGAAAGCATGCTGTCTGCAATTGAAGATTAAGTTATAATATACATAGATGAGATTTATACATGTCTAAAAGCTATAAAGAGTCAATTTTGTGTGATATAGGACTTTTTAATAATGCATAATATAATAAAATACTGTTATTTCATCAAAAACATACCTGGAGTTGTGTTTTGTTTCATTCACACATCTGCATCTCCAAAGCTCAAAATGCCCTGTTCCACCTTGTGATGTCATGAAGCAGTATAGTTTCAAGTTAACAGCTACCTTTTACCTTCCATGACTGAAATGATCCAAATGATTCATCAAGGTGTATGAAGTGATCTTTTTCCTTTACCACACTAAAAATACAACTGTTAGTGTACCACATATTGTGGTCAGCATATGACTCTAGTGCAAAGAGAAGTGAGCATTCCTTTTGCACTACAGTTTTGGTGCAATCTGCTGAAATGTGTTACAGCCCACTCGCACTAAATGTAGCAACACCAACCACAGTCATTTACACAGTCCACACCTTCACCAAACACCAGAAACTCAGACTACACAGCTAACTACACCATGTGAAAGCAGGTGTAACATAAAACACTATTCCCACTGATGCATTTTATCAAAACATTTACAAAAGCAAATTTATCATTACAGTAAATATGAAAGGACTGCACAGGAGTCAAGTCAAAGAAAATACTTTTGCATGACAGTTTGTTCTATTGATACTGTGCAGTAAGATCACGCTGGGGGTGTTCTACATATATGTGTATTGGCCGTATATTCATCAGTCATCATGGAGACACAATGTACACAAGAGCAAACACTGCCAAACAAGTTTTAAGATTATCTGAAAACTCAAGGAAAAATTTATTTAAACAACACATTTTAAGGAGCCTGTGATCAATACAAGCATTCTTGGTCCTGTTTGTAGAAGTTTGACTTTCAACCAAAAAGGCGAGAGTGGCTAAAAAATGGTTGGTTAATGCTAGTTAGTGTATGACTCAATATTCTGCCTTAATAAATGCAATCTTTCAATGTAATAAATTATCCAGCCTTTTGAACTCTAGTGCCTATTCTCTGGTGTAACAGTGACACTTGACCAAAGCAATGGACCTCCAACTGTAGAAAAACGGCTTAAAAGAGCAAACATTTGAAAACTGCTCTGAATGAAGTGCTCTCAAAATGTGCGATGAAATGCCATTTGAAAAGTAAAACAAACTATATTTTTTTTCATCTTTTTAAAGAGTATTCTAGTCCATGAAATCAGCAAAAATCTGCCATTAGCTAATTTAAGAAAGCAGTGAAGGGCTTGCCTCTTGTTTGCCTCCATATATGTTACTGCTATGCCTAGAATGTTACAAAGCATGGCATTAAACGTACAGATCCCCATGGAGCTCTCTATAAAAACATAAATGTATGTCCACCAAAACAACACTTAATAAACACAAGACAGTTTAATGCCATACTGTGAAACATTCAAAGCAAAGCAATAACTTCATGAAGACAAGTAGATGACAGATCCCCACAAGTGAAGTTACATAGTGCAGCTTTAAATCAGGCTATGTGTCAACATTAAATTCCAGCATATCAGATTCCAACCAGTGTCAACAGCGCCATAAACCAAAATACTATCTTGTAATAACTATGTAATGACACTCCTCAAATACGAGTCCAGCTGAATAGTTAAAGAATATCAGATCAGAATTACAAACCAAAATGGATCTTTTAAAAGTCAGATTCCTGGCGAACATGTTTCATTGCAAGCCGAGGAGCAGACTGACGGAAGTGGAGAGAGCGCTCTTCTACCGGGAGCAAAGTTCAATGGGCCACAGCTCCTTACAGGATTACCCCTCCCTCCCTCCTCTCCCTCCCTTTCTCCCTACTTTCTCTCTCTTTCTCTCCCCCCCACCATCGCCCTTCCCTCCTCTCTCTCTCTCCCTCCTCTCCTCTCTCCCTCCCTCTCTCTCTTCCCTCACGCCTCCATCCTCTCTCCCTCCCTCCATCCCTCCCTCTCTCTCTCTCTCCCTCCTCTACCTCTCCCAGTGTGCGGTGCTCTGAAGATTACCCATCTCACCACAGGATTAACGCCTCCACAGGCCGAGGCAGACGACAGGTAAACACAGGAGCGAGCAGAGATCAAGGAGCCAACAACCTCCAAGAGTCAAGTGATATTTATGAAGATTCAAGTGTACAGTAACTGGACAAGAAAAACTCAACAGCAACAGCCAAAAGAAAATATATCAATTAGGGTTGTCAATATTAGGGCTGCCTGATATGAGAAACAATGCAAAATTCAATAACTATGTTTTGTATTAAGATTATTGCGTTATTGCAATATTTGAATATAGCCTACGATTTGGCAATAAAAGTTCAGTTAAGTTAAGTACAAAATGTCCATACCTTCATTTACTAGTGCAGCTGGGTCAAAATAAAACTTAACCGAAATCAAGACCAGCCCAAGAAAGAGTTGAAGTGGAAGAGTTGTTATGATTTATTTTCTTTCGATATTGATTATTGCATCAGACAATACTGTGATATCAATATTTTTGCGATATATTGTGCAGCAGTTCTCTAAACAATTATTTCATATTCTTCTCAACTTTTCTTCACAAACTGCAACTTGACTGATGTAAAACTATGATAAATATTGATAAATAGGTACTCTCCTATCAAACCAAGTAATCATAATAATTCATTTCCTGAACCAAAACAATGTTAACTTTTATTATTTAACACAGAAATAGTACAATTTCTTTTTTCACACTCAGCTAAAAAAGTGCATGCCTTTGGCTATAGACCAAAAAGAAACTGGTAATTTTTATAACAATAGAAAAGATTGCTTTTCAATTAAAATTGCACAGCCCTACCCAACTCTTTATGCATAAACTGCTCTCCTTTTGTAGGACCACCGTCAGCTGAGCAGGCACAGAATCTGATTTATCTCTGCTTTTGGACTCTGACTTTGTTTACGCTGGAGAAGCAAAGAATAAATACCACTACTCTTATCACTATTACCACTACCTGAATCATGACTATTGCAAAATATAAGCCTCTACTAATTACCCATACTATTAACAGGCTTTTCAAAACCAGCAGAAAATAACCTAGTACATTCAAAGTTACTTTTTTTCTTTTTTTCAAATGTCAAGAAATGTACACATCTTTCAAGAAGTAACTAAGCTTCAGTATGCATGTTTTTAGGATGAATAAGGAACTAAGACTACCAATAAAAGTCCAATATACTGCAGTTTAATTAAAATGACCATTTCAATTAGCATATTTATCAAATAGCAAAGGCTGCAATTATTTAGATAATAAAAATCATTTGTACCTGTAGTTTGGATCTCTACAAACATGTTCTGAAACGAATGGAAAACTTGTATTACTTTAACATTTGAGAGAAGATTGAAATATGAACTTAATGTTGTTTACAAAGTATAATGTATGATCAGAATCCTTCTTTTTAAAACATACAGGGCAAATTTAATCACAGTTCTGGGCAAATTTGTGCCACCAGCAAACTACATGCCAAAAATGGCCCAGAAGCATCCACCTAGGCCTACTACAGATCCAGATATGTGCGACCGTATAAACCTGACTTCAAACCCAAAGTGAAGCCCACCTTGACAAAGTTGTCTGGGAACAGCCCCCTCCTCCCATTGAGCTCTCCCTCCATCCAGCCGTCCTCCTCGATGCAGCGGACATTTTTGATTATGTCACCGGGTCGCAAGGTCAGCTCATCCTCGTGCAGGGCCTCGTAGTCGTACTCAACTACCACCTCTGCAAAAACACACAAGAAATGAATTTAAAGTGAGTTTGACAGGTTTTTAATTTTTACTTCATTTGGTGGGAGAAAACCTGTTGTAAATATAAAAGATCATTTTACTCTAATCAAGAAGCAATATGTGAAGAAAAGTTGAAAAATATGCTGAAAATTGCAGGAGTTAGAGAAAGAGAAACACATTTATGAAATCATACAAGAGAGAATTCTATCCAAGAGTTTGGACATCTTGAAGTTTTTTTTTTGTTTTGTTCTGTTTTTTTCTGATACTTAAATAAAAATAAAAATTATAATTTCTGTGTAAATTAGTGTAAAGTTTTGGCCTAGTGTACACAATTTCCAACCAGGAAGTATAATCTGGAGGCTGTGGAGACTTTGTGGACATATTAATTTCAGGATAAATCAATTTGACTGTAGTGTTTAAATGACACAACGGGGCAATATTTTGGAAGATTAAACTAAATTAATCAAGTCTAAAATGTTTAAAGGTCTTTCAGGCTAATTAATAATCAGAAAAGCAATACAAATGTTAAGAAAGTGGGGCAGCACAATTTTGGAAGATAAAAAAACTGCATTTGTTTGGACAAATGCTATCATGATTATATCTGAAACGCATGTCTTCAACTTAAGATTGAGTACAGACTGTGCACATTATAAGTACAACCAGGATCATTTTCCTCACACAAAGTAACAAGATATTTTATTGTTTGCAGACACCATTTTATTGCCTAAAGAATTGTAACCATTGATATTTAATATCAATTCATATTGCAATTTTGATTGGATTGCAATGTATTGTGCAGCCCTACCAAGAAGTTTGCAAACTCACTTGGTGCAAAGGCAGTGCAAAACATCTATATTTGAATATAGACATTTTCTTAACAGAGCCTTAAGAAAATGAGGAACCAAATAGCGGCCCGTCAGAGGAAAGCAGCTACATGCAAAGTTAAGGGTGAAACACCAAAATAATCCATTGACGAGATCATGGTATTTTTGAAAGACCGTTCTATCCAAGTATGTTTTTATAATAATTTCAATGATGCATCATTAAGTGATTTGTTTTCTAGATCATCATGATGTTATTGCTTTATCTGGAATATTTTACAGTATGGTATTAAACCTTTCTGTCTTCATGGAGACCAAACCAGACGCAATTACAGGTCAGACCTGTATAGAGGCAACCGCGCTCAGAGTAAGAATGCCTATTTTTCTAGGTATTTTAGTGCTATAAAACCATTTGTAATTGAATAAATGTAAGGCAGAGCAGTGACCTCTCCATAGAAACTGCACTTGTACTCAGATTGTGAATAGTTGTTTTTAGGACATCTTCTCCAGCACTCAGCTTGTCCCAGGACTATGATAGAAATAGGAGGTTTAAATCTTTTATTACGTGACAGATCAGGGGAAACCAAAATGGTCAAAACAGATTCATGACACAAGAACACACATTTAAAAGTGCTAAGGTTCATGTTTAACACAGGAACTGGATGTACCTATTTTCTGAGCTGGTCTATGTCATGAGGGAGACAGTTGGTAGCTACAGTAGATATATGCTCTCCTCTTTACTGCTTCACATCTTTCTGTGTGCCTCCTGTGCTCTTTTATTAATGAGAGAAAGTGTGTCCATCTGTAGTTGAAAGGTCTACAGCAGTTTGTCCACACCAGAGCTCAGATTCTATATTCTGCAGTAACAAGATGTACATTAGGAAATATTTTCAGTCAGATGTAAGACCAAAACAAAATGCAAAATATTTCTTTTAGACTAGGTATAGTAAGAATGGTCCAATTAGCATGGTTCATCATCAGTAGAGTTTAAAAGGGCCACTATGTAAAATGTCCAGTGGAGGGTCTGCCAATTGCTTGTTCATGGAGATGTTATTTCTTAGCCTGGAACAGAATTACTAAAAGTTATTATGGAGACAAGCAGGTAGTGCCAAGTTACAAGTCAGACCTGAGGAGAAGCAAGTTGGCTCATAGTCATGCATGCATGTCAAGGTATTTATAGCAATTACCCTATCTGAATAATTGCCAAATTTAATCTAATATTGTGAAACACTCCAGACAAAGCAAGTGGTGGATGCCTCAACAAAGTTCATCCTTTCATATAAGAATCAATTTTTCGAGATGGTTAATACAAGTTTAAGAGCATTTCAGTTAGACGTTCAGTTATTTAGCAGTATGTATGTAAGTGAAAAACAGGTCCCTGCCTCCCTCACCACTGTGTGCATTATTTAAATGTCCTTGTGCAGACTGCATCGTCCACAGATGAGCAGCATGACTCAGACTCAGGCTGTTACACAGTGAGTGGGAGCGCAGTCTGCAACACGCTCAAATCACAACATCTCTTTCACTCAACTCTGTAGCATATTGGTCATGTCAGTGCATTATCTGTCTATTATCTGAAAGTTTTCATTTTAAATCAAAGTCACATTCAAGTTTAGAGCAAAAAAAGGATGAAATATGTCATGAAAGAGGCTGCATATTGCTGAAATAAATCTAGATGATAATAGAGAATACTGAAATCAGACCATAAAACAATATTATTTTAAAAAAGTATTCTAAATGTAAGATATTGTTAAATACTGCTGAGCTGTATACATAAATAACAGAATGCAACACTTCATTAGTTAGTGTATGTAGTTTCGTTAAGTATAGTATAGTATAGTATAGTATAATTCAACCTTCTGCAGGTAAATCTATATTGCAGAAACAAATAACCAAAAATTCCCCACTAGTACAAAGAAAAAGTTTTGTTTAATTTATAAAATACTGAACAATAAGCTGATAAAGTAAAGACAAGAACAGGCCTATGTATGTTGCTTGAGGACAGACTAGGATGTGAGAAGAGAGAGACAGAGAAAGAGAGAGGAGGAGGAGAGAGGAAGGAAGTGAAGGAGGAAGTGCAGAAGAGCGGCATTCCTCTGACCTGAGATCTGCTGACCCACACGGAAACTACAGCAGCACACTCAACTCACACTTAACTCACTGTTACACTTTTAGAGCATGAGAATTAACTTGTGTTTCTTCACTCAGTGTTTATGTCTGAATCAGGGCTGTAGGCCTTTGGTCATTTGGTGAATTAAGTGGAGGATGCTGTCTGAGTAAAATACATTGTTCCCTAGTACTTTTTTCTACATAAATAGTTGTTTTTGCATGAACTCCTATGCAGTCAGTCTTGTGAGTGTAGAGATATAAAGAGATACGCAAATAGTTTCTTTAGTTAAACTACTTTAGTTAACAATTCTTTAATGACTTCAGCCCTAGTGGGGTCCCCTATATATTTCAGAGTGCTCCAGTATCATATTCCTGAAAATGCCCTGCCCTTCACACTGGACACATGAGGTAAATATTAGCTCAGAGCAGATTGTAGTAAGGCAGAGCTGCTCTGAGAGTTCAGGAGCTAAAGACATGTTTGACTTCAAGTTCAACAGCTTCACTATTTGCTGTATGGCATGTGGCGTATAGAGTCGCAACAATTTGTTGGATTAAATGTGACTAACTGACCACTGAAATAATCATTAATCAGATTAAAACACATGACAAAGAACAGTTTATAACTAAGACCATGGAATTGTGTAATTAAAATGGCAAAATAATAAGCCATTTATTATTTTAATCAATAGTAGACTATTCGTAAATATTCTCCATCTAGAAGCCTAAGTCAGCATATTCTACCTTTGGTTTGCACCCTGAGGAAGACTGTGCTGGGCCAAAACATGGTGGGTATTTTATGTCAATAGCCCTGCTGTAATAACGGCTTTTTGATTTTTAAGAGCACCTTGGAATTTTGTCTGTGGGAATAGTTATCCCCCAGCATTTTACTTCACATTATACTCAAAAGACAGAGATGTATGCATATTATTTTTACTTCTGTCTGGTTAAAAATGTGTTTTGAAAACCTCAATGTGTACAACTGACTAATCAACTACTACAATATTTAGTTTCTTATAATTTGTGTCTGTAAAGGGTCTGTTAACAATTACAATGAATTAATTTGTAATATATTTACTCAAAATTTTCAGAAATAAAAAGAACATTTAAATATTCCTTGTACCTCCATATACTAAAGGAGAAAATTATTAGGTATTTCTCACATTGAGTGGTATTGTGCTGTATTGTGCTGTGAGCAGTGGAATCACCTACACACCAGTAACACTTTAGACTGTTTATCATGCTGACATAAGTCAAGAATACACCAACTAAGGTGTTTTTAAAGTAAGTGTATTTCTCACATTGAGTGGTATTGTGCTGTATTGTGCTGTGAGCAGTGGAATCACCAACACACCAATAACACTTTAGACTTTTTAACATACTGACATAAGAGAAGAATACGCCAACCAAAGAGTTTCGAAGTATTGGACATACAGTACATGTAAAACTGAATGGGCTGAAAATGAGAGTGGTCATACAATAGCAAGAAAATATCATCCTTTACTTTATATTGACTTAGCTGCTGTTGGTGCACTAAACTGGGTGACAGTATTTTGGTACGAGGCACTTGCAGGTTGTAGGTAAATTCCAGCCCACAGATGTGAATGTAGTCAAAGCAAACAGAAAGTGAGGGTCTCTCTGAGCGCAGACGTGTTCAAACATGGATCTGCACAACTCTGCTGCTGTCAGCCCCAAGCACTGAGAGAAGGGCCTGGTTTAGGGCCTGGTTTAGACCCCGGTTTAGTCCCACAGCTCGGTTTAGTTTAGTCCCACAGCTCGGTTTAGTTTAGTCCCACCACAGATTGGTTTAGTTTAGTCCCACCACAGTTCGGTTTAGCCAACAGTTTAGTTCCCTGGTTGGTCCCCGGTTTAGTCCCCTCTTGCTCTCACTTTACTGGTCAACAATCAGCTAAACATAAGACAACACTACAATGCAGTTTCAGTATTGAGTGTTCTTATTTCAAAATAGTAATGTCAAAATTGGTCAGCTATACTCTGGACACTCTTGGTCAAGCTAACAGTATGTTTCACTATTGCATGTGGAAGTATGCATGAGAATGTGCAAAACTACCAAATCAACAAGAGGAACAGGGATTTTAAAATACTCAGGAGTTTCAGGGCAGAGTGGTTGTCATTCACAAAAAGGTGCTGCTGGTCTAACTAGTCAAACCAGGCTTAAAGGTGATTTTAACTTGGTTTATCATTGTTGAGTAGTAACTAATTCTAGTTATGCAATTCATCCTGTCAGTATATATGTTTATCCTATACTGAGTCAATGTCAATATAGGTGTGACAGATATGATCAAGCAGTTACTGACTAAATGTTGATACTGACAGATAAAAAGTTTAAAGCCTTTTAAAAGTTTATTGTATGCTTGTCTACATGGATATTATATTACGCTGTCTGCAATTTTCTACAGTATGGCATGGAGACAAGCAGATGATGCTTAGGACCATCTGAGTTCATGGTTTTCGAGACATTTCTGAGCAATAAAAACACCTGCAATAAAATCAGAATTGGCTGTACATAAGTTTAATGCCTTACTATGGAACATTCCAGGAAAAGCAATAATATGGGGAAATAATTAGGCAGAGCCCCACCAGACCAGTTAAATAACACACCTTTAACTTTGAGGTTATGGCATTATAATCAAACAATACAAAGTAAACATGAAAAATAAGAGCTCAAAATTAAAATAATCAGTGGATAATCTGGATGTGATGTAACAGACTGAATAGTGAATAATAGCTTTAGTTCCCCTTGGAGATCCTAATTTGAATCTATTTCAGACGGTGGGAAACCAAACTGACCTAAACTACACCACACTTCACTTCGCTATCTTTAACTTAACACAGCAGAACAGCAAAAGAAAAACTTCAAACCAGTTCCACAACATAGCAGACGGCTGCAACCCTGAGCCACAACTACTTTGAGTCACATAAATATGGACTAGTTTCATAAGATACAGTAGGAGATGGCACCATTTCCTCTGCAGTCTAACCAACACCTGCTTTTAGACAGACTTGTAAATAAATAAACTATAAAACAACTATGATTTAGCATACAAATTTGTGACAAAGTTAGGTACAGTGTCTTAAGTGTTGACTTGACACTGACAGTAGCCCATATTAAAGTAGGTTGAGGGTGTGTAAATGAGAATGTTGCTCTAATGGAAAGAATGTCAGCGTCAAAACAAGATCCTGGTCTTTTAATCAGTCGAAAAAGCACATCAAAGAGGAAGAGGAAGGCAAATTTTACAAGAAGTTGCTCCGAAGTTTGGAGTTTCCTGTCAAGAAATGAGCAGCCTAGGACTTACCAAAAGTCTAAAACAAGCTCCAAGTTTAGGAATATTTTCAGCATGATCTTGCACATGCACAACAGTTGCGTTTGTCAGAGCAATGGCATTTCCTTGTACATGTTTAAGTTGTTAATTAACCTTAAAAATCTCCTGTTTAAACATTAGCAAAAGGAGCTGCCAAATCCATGGATAGAAGCGGCGTTATCCAGCTAGCGAACCATGCTAACAGGCTAACTCCCAACTATTCATTTTTACTACAGATCATCCTAATGACATTTTGCTTTTATACGCACGGACTTTGGGGGATTTTGCATCGTTACATAAGAGGGAAAATGTAGCCAACGATTGTACGAAAGTAAGGCGCCACATCACGGAAAAAACTCACCCATTCCAGACCTTCTCCTCCTCACGACTTGGGAATGACTTTATCCGGGAGGCAGGAGCGGCGCCACGGCTAACTTAGCTTCTAACCAGGTGGGACAAAATGAAGATATTTACGTGATAAACGCCGTAAAAAACGAGTTAAATCTGAAGTAAATCCATTCGCCCGTGTCTCCAGTCGTAGCCAGTCTCCCTAACGGTGATGGTGGCGGTGCTTGAAGTGCAGGAAGTTGCAGAGTCTCCACCTTTCTTGGACAGCCCTCCTCTCCTCTCCTGCGGGGCTCCTGCTGCTGCTGTCTGCTGCCTGTCACCAAAATACAACCACCAGGAAGCCCCGCGAGCTTTCCACAGTGTAATCCCGCGAGAGGAGAGGAGTCCGAGGGGGCTCCTGCTGTGGATAAGAGGATAAGAGGTTCATTCACAAACTACACTGACTTGTGGCCTACTGCTGTAAGTAAATGTCAGTCTGGGCCCACAGAAAAAACAAAAAAACAAAAACTGAATTAATAAAAGCAAACCTCCCATGCAAGGTTAACGCTTGATTATTTGTAACTATAGGGAATGATTGTGATGATAATAATGTTATGATTGTGATGCTAACTTATGCAACATTTTGAGCACTTTTTCACACTCAAAAGGTAGGCTATTTTCTGTCTTTAAATTGTTAATTGCTATAAACAATCCTAGTTTTCATTGTTCTCAAACCAATGAATTACAGATAGCTTACAGCAGGCCTACCTAACAACTATTGATTGTGCTCTAAAACTCAAAACTTTGCATTATTGACTAGAATAGATAACTCAACATAATTAGCGTAGAAAGCTTAAGCATGCAGGCCTGCTTTGTTTAGATAATATTTAGCTCTCGGAATGTGGTGCCCATGTTTTTCTGTGTCAAGGGCTAGCAGCTTTCTGGCCAGTCATTTACACTCATGCAAAGTGTTTGCCCAATAACACAAGTCATAAAGGTCTATGCCAGCAGCAGCAATTCTATTTGTTTGTAGATAGGCTGACACTACTGAGCTACTCTGACAAAGATAAGCTTACTACTGTACCTCACATTTGCATTCTGTTTAAAACTATTGGTAAATGAGGAAAAGTCACTGACCTTGAGGCCTGTGACACAAGGACATTTTTATTACAGTGTGTGAGTGTGCGGGTCTTATCAGTGCCTGAAACAACACACAGTCTATTGTGTAAAAAGGGTGTAGAGAAAATGATACTGAGGAATTACCTCAGTGCAAATACAACAAAGAAGCAAAACAAGAACACTGCAATAATAATTCCCTGAATGCTAAATGTCCGAGTAAGGTGACTGTCCATCCTCAGAGCAGCCTGGACTCCCTGTACTCAGGACAGTAACATCGGATGTCCCAGAGGATTCTAAAAGACGTGCAACATCCACTAAAGAGTTTCAACTGCTTCCCTCTGGTCAAAGGCTTTTAGTCCCAAGAACAAATAGTTTCAAAAGGAGCTTCATTCCAGCTGCTACTGTATTTATGAATAAATTGTAATTTATTTATTTATTTATCAATTTTAGTACATTGTCTTGGAAAAATCCTGTAAAATTTGTCAACTGGACAAAAGTTTATTTGATCAAATACATTTCGCAGCTCATCCAAGCTGCTTCTTCAGGTTTGGTCGGAATGCTGGTGGACACTTCTTTATACCTGCCTGAAGCAGAAGCTAACTACAATGAAACTACTCTCAAACTAACACATCTGCTTGTTTACAGTTTCTGTTCATTAGCTAGACACGTTGATCTTGCAGTGAGTGTGGGGTCTTATTAGCGTAATCATTCTGGGCCATAAGCGGTGCTTTCACATCTCTGGACAAGTCAGATCTGTGGAGAGACCAAAATGATCTGTGGAGAGATCTGACTTGTAATTTGAAATATCTGTAAATTTATTTTAAAAAGTATTTATTACAAAATACATTTAATGCCATTCTGTGAGACATTGGAGAGTAGGTAAAGCAATAAATGTGGAGACACCCCATCACAAATTGCACAGTGCACATTTGATCATCACACACATCAGATACAGACTTAAAATACCATGGTTCCAACACCACTTTTACACAGTGGTTTACACAGTGGTTAATTCCAAATCTAAAGGCTGCTGCAAATGCTTATCTCTCTTTTCACAGCCAGGGGAAGTATTTGAGCATAACTCGGAAACCACAGGAGCCTATTGGACCCATGTCAACAGGCTGTCACTCCACACAAACACAAATCCTATGCAAATGCAGCCACACTCACAGCATGCCTCATTGTTGTGGAGAAAACAGACAATTTCCTCTTTGCATCAAATCACTGCTCCACTGGAAGCCATCTGGATGTGAAGTTTCCTGCTTTGGATCAGAACTCAAAATTACACATGAAAGAGTGAAGTGGGTATTTACTTAGGGAAACTTTCATGAGGTTCATCTTGTCTTCTTGTTATAATTATTAATACTGATGTGTGGAGAAGTGTCATGGTAAAACACATATACATAATTGGCTATGATGAATCAGATCCCACCTGCATGGTACAGAAATAAGTTAAGGCTGTCATAAACATTGACTTTTGCAGAAATGAACCATATGATATGGGTAAACAAATGTGTACTGTATTATACTATTTCTCTAAATTGCCCATTGCATCCTTTAGTGATATTGTTGTTGTTATTCCAAAGGCTTATTTTTCTGTGTAGTTTGGACTGTAATGCATTATCAAATTAGTTCAACATGAACTGAAAGGGAACATAACTTTAATATGTTGAGGCAAACTTGAAAAATCACTGAAATATTATCACAATATAAGGATTTTCTCTTGAAATCAAGTTGTACAGAACGTGACCTGGTTTGAACTGTGACAAAACAATTGATGCTAAGTTGAGTGTGTGTGTGGTGAACATGTGTGTAGCAGTTGTGTAATAGTGGAAACAGGCTGTCAGTGGTAAAAAACAAAAAACAATAATAATAAATATAGAAATTGGTGTCACAAACAAAATGTAGCTGTGGTCAGAAGTTTCAGGAACTAGTGGTTTCAAACATTTTAATATGCTCTTTGTAATTTTGCTTAAGTGACATGCTTGCTGACTTCATTTTATCACCCCCTTGTGGATATTTCATTTTGTATACGTACTAGTATGTCTAATATAGCCGTTTGTAAGACCAAGGTCAAGTTCAATATATTAATTATGTTGTATTTATTTATTTGAGCTTGAAAGAGTAGGATAAAACACATATAGTGACAGAAAGGCTGTTGACTTGTTCACCTATAAAGTGACTGCAAAAGGGCCAAGTAACAACTTATTTGCAGTGTCACTTTTAACTGTAAAATAGTGAACTGATAATAATAATAATAATAATTTATAATAATTTGTGTGCATGTGATAGTCTCCTGTAGCCTGTATTTTTTACTGAGTTTCAGCTGGTTACGTGTAATTTTCCAAAAGCTCCAGCAGAGGGCAGACTCACACCTGATATACGTATGAGGCAAACGATTCGCAGCTCATTCTTTTCTCACCAAAACCGAAAGTAGGTCTGTTGAAAAGATGAGGTAACTTGGACATTTACTCCTGTTTTTGCTCCCCTGTTTTTTTTTATTTTTATTATTTATAGTTAAAAATGTTGCACTAATAAAGCAAGAAAAATATTTAATCTATAATAACATAACATGCATCTAATGGAACAGATCGGGCTTAGTATCTACATCATTACTACACTTAATCACCCTTAAAACACTAGCCTAATTACTCAGTTTCATACTTTAAAGGAGCACTGTGTAACTTTTGAGACTGGAGACCTGACGCCATGGAGATGCTATTGTGTATATAAGATGCATTTATTCAGCTATGGGTGTTTTTATTGCTCCAAAAACATGCATTCTTACTGTGAGTGGGGTCACCTCTTCACAGATCTCCCCTGTAAATTGCCTGGTGGTATCTCTTACTTGTTTCTATGGAGACTGACAAATTTAATGCCATGGTCTGGAACATTACAGGTGTCCCAAACTATGTGCAACTGTGCAACTGGTTAACTGAAATACCAGTGTGTCATATTTTTATCAGCTACATTTTATTACAAATTTCTGTCTCTCATTTTTTGTCAGTTGTATAATTAAGCTTTTGAATGAATGCATCCCTGCACAGTACTCCTGTTTAAATGTCAGTTTGATAGAATTATGTTTATTGCATAGTCTAAAACATAAACATAATAATTTAGCCCTTGAAATCAAAGTGAGACCACCAACAGAACATGCTTTCCCTTCGGCCTGTGATCATCTTAAAGAGGAGGGAGTGGGGAGAGGTTCTGCTTTTGTGGTTGCGCACATGGTTAGAGGCAGTCAGGATGGCTTAATGGTTTGTATATGAACTTGTGTGGCATAGATTATAGAAACTTCCAACCTACCTCCTCAAACAGAATGTAAACATAGCTGAAAAACATGTAAAGAGGACAGGACCCCACACTCAGATTTGGGCTGCATATTTAACACATCAAAATTAGTATTGTATCTTTGCATTAATAGTGTACTGTGTAACATTTATAGGGGAGTGTTTGCCAACTGCTCGTTTCCATGAAGATGCCTGGAATTTTCTACATCATGACACTAAACATATTCATTTCCAAAGAAATGCTATGCTGACAATGAGAATGCATGTTTTTGAGGTATTTTTGAGCAATAAAAATACCTATACTTTACCTAACAGAAGATAGATATGTTTCATTGCATACTGTAGAACAGTGTTTCCCAAACGTCTTTTGGGGGGGGACCCATTTAAAAGTCACAAACCTTTGCAACCAAAGTCAATAGACTTCATTCGTAAATCACAAAATAAAGATGGATTTGACCATTACTGAACATTAATAAGGATATTTTATTGTTGACTGAGTGAGCATGTCTCTCCGAACAATTAGTATTACTCAAGTTTTAAATAATGAAAAACAGTAACTGAACCAGCAATAAAAGGGATCCATAAGTCACCTATTTGGACATTAAATGTAGCCCATTTCTTTTTCTTTTCAACATTCAATTGAAACAGCAATATTGGAACAAAATAGTCACTCGCTCAGAACTGTGTACTGCAATCATACATGCAAATCATGACAAGGCGACCCAAAAAATATCTCTTGCGACCCACCTGAGGGTCACGACCAAACCTTTGGGAAACAATGCTGTAGAACATTCCAGGCAAAGCAATACCAAGTCCATGGAAACAATTAAGTGGCAGACAGTCCACTTGAAAAGCTGCATATTGCACCTTTAAAGCTTGAAGTCTTCCCTGTAGGATGTCTTTGCCAGG